CAATAACGAGACAAGGCTACGTTTAGAGGGATCAAGAAGAACTGCCAAAACCTTTATTCCCTTGGGACCAGCCAATACAGTCACCACAATAACATTGTTGTGAAACCTCAATAAAATCACAAACAGTCAAACCATATCAAGAAACACACAGTGACTTATCACAACACAATGGCACATTTTTAAAGGGGTGGGGGGAGACAATATTTAACAGTAAATATCTCACCTGCCTGCAGAATTAGTAATATGCAAATCTACCCGAATATGCAAATGAACCAGTCTTGCAATTCAGGTAGTGCATATTGCTGTTGCTACCAACAGAGGGCACTAGACCAGCTCCATAGCCAAACCCACCTAGTTGGTAGCAAACCTCAGCAATACAAGAGAGCAGGCAATACATTACACAGTACACACACACACACTATAAACAATTACATTACACACACCCTGCACCTATAATGGGTACAGGGTGACTAAAACATAGGATAAATAAAGCAGCCCACATAAATAGTCTATCTGAAGGTAGACTAGGGGCTTTAAAGCCAGATAGATGAAAGAGTCATAGTCACAGGGGAGGAGGCTGGCAAGTAGGCCTCTCCAGGACCAAGTGGCGAAGGGCACTTCGTCACAGGTGCTTGATGCAAGGAGACATCAACTGCTATTTTGGGGTCAAGAAGGAATTTTTCTCCTAGTTTGTTGCCAAATTGGAAGCACTTCAGACTAGGTTTTTTGCCTTCTTTTGGATCAACAGCAAAAACATATGTGAGGAAGGCTCAACCTGATGGACGCAAGTCTCTTTTCAGCTATGTAACTATGTATAATGGGTGGAGCCAAACCAACTACTTCCTCTTTCTTGTGATCCCAATAAAGATAGGACCAAACGATAATCCAATGAATGGAGAACAAGTAAACAAATAGATCAACGACTTCAACAGGTGATCGTCATATTCGAAAAATACATGAAGAGCAAAGTCAAGCTGGAATAGATAGAAAAAAGAGATATGGTAATATCAAAAGTATAGTAAGCCATCATACTTAACTTCTAAGCATCGGACTATTAGGATATCCAGACTAAACATAACGACATTCAATACACTCAACGGAATGTGAAGCATGATCGATATGACAGGCTTAACACACGTATCAATAAATGACTTACTGTAGACCTTATATCACCTTATATCACCTTACTTACCTAGAATCTTAATAGAATCCGTCAGGGTGGGAGGGCAGGATAATACATGTTAATAGTAAAATCTGGGAATTTTATTTAAGACACGGAGGCTCATATTATGACAGTTTAAAGCAGGGAAATTACATTTCCCGCAATATGTTGAATCGGTGTCAGGATTACAATTGAGCCAACACGCAGTATTAGTATCACACTTAGGAATAATGATAACGTCTAACTGGACCTTAGAATGGCCGGACTTAACGTGCCAGAGAATAGTCAAAATACTAGCTGAGGTCAGGAACACAGAACGAAACACAGTTGCAAGGAATTGCCAATAGTCAGGGATACCAGAATTCAAGGAAGTCAGAACGAAGCCAAAGTCAATAATCAAAGAAACACAATCAGAAACACACTCTCGGATAACCAGCAAAGGGAAACCACAACAGGGCAATGAGTAGAAGAAATGAGTGAGTTTAAATATCTCTACTCTGCCTTTGACCGCAAAATGTGTACCTGCTTCCTCTGCATGACTTCACCCGCACGTTAACGTCGCTACCACCGTGGAAAGACGTGGGGCTATATATAACATATAACAGTGTGGATCCGCAGCGTGGATTCTGAAGACCAATCGGACGCTTTCAAAATATCCTCTAGGCGACAACCCACTGAGGAAGCCTTTGAGGCCATTGCCCCTCGAACCGAATGGGGTGAAAATGTGGAGGTATCAATACCCGCCAAAGACATAATCCACCTGACCCAGTGGGCAGGGTAGGTGTAGACACCGGGAGTGCGGTTTGCAGAAAGAAATTAAAAGTTGAGGTTGAGAGCAGTCATGCAAAGAAGCGGTACGCGTCTCATAGTCAAGGAAGCATGCAACAGGACATAGTTGAGATCTCTCAGGGAAAGCAGGATATAATACTGACTTGGAGAAAGTCTTAGTGTGTCGGGATATGTCAAAAAGTACACCTTCAGGAGTAAAGGAGCGAGCATTAAAAACGTCTGAGACTCTCTTACAAGTTATTAAACAGAATAACATGACTAGTTTGGCCAAAAGTTGTTTAAGGCACAACAAAGTATTTTCTGGCCAAGAAAAAAGTTAGGACCAGAGAAACATCCCAAAGAATCAAATAACATGGTAGTGGAGGGTGAGCAAAACAAATCCCACAAAGAAGTCGGCATACAAAAGGATGGCATCCTACTGAGGCACCGTTGAAACCTTGGTGTTCAGCAGAGATAGTTGATCTGAACAGGTTTACAGTACAGTAGGCTTTACCTTTGTCAAAGAGGGACATGAGGAAATTTATAAGTGTCGTCAGATAAGCCAATATGGAATATGTCTCGTCCCAGGTGCCCATGCACCCTCGAGAAGTCTAAGAGTTGATTGCGGAACTCCGCTGATGGACCAGGGTCCCTTGAAACTAGCCATACCATGAGACATAACCATACCTTGGAGCATCAGAGGATAATCCCGACCATCGGGATCTTGGAGAAGATAATCGAGGGATGGAAGGAGGCATGGGCAGTCCATCTCCAGTAGAGGTGGGAACCACAGTTCGGATGGCCACAGAGGAGTCAGAAGCACTAAGGTGCCAACTTGGCTTTGTGGATGAAGAAGACAACAAAAGGTCTGAGAGCAAACAGAGGGACTGCGTAGTTCTTCATGAGAGCCCAATCTTGGGAAAAAGGCATCTGTCGCCACTGCCGTGGGTTCTGGCCTCTGGCTGAAAAACATGGGTAGCTGAGTATTCAGATGGGAAGCGAAAAGGTCCACTTCTAAGGGACCCCAGAGATCCCAGATCTTCAGGAAAACTTCGGGATTCAGATGCCAGTCGCTGGAATCCCTGAGGTGTCGCGAATACCAATCCGCTGTAGAGTTTGAGAGGCTAGGGATGTATTCTGCCGTAATCGATATGCCGTGTGTCAGGCAAAAATGTCAGAAGTCGCAAACCATATTCGCCAAGATCTTGGATTTCATACCACCCAGGTGATCAATTTATCAGACGGCCGATACATTGTCCATCTTCAGCAATATGATGCAGGTGGAGTGAGTAGGGGACATGCTGCAGACTGCAAAGGACCCGGCAAGAAGTTCCAAGCTGTTTATGTGGAGTGTCGATTCTACATCCCACCATCTGCTGCCTGTTGTGATGTCTCCACAACGAGCATCCCAACCGTATAAGCTTATGTCTGACTCTATAATTAAGTCAGAAACTGTACCAAATATGGCGCGTCCATTCCATGCCTCCATATGAAGAAGCCACCACTGGAGTTCGTCTCTCACTTCTGTGTCGAGAACCACCAAATCCTCGTATGAAGCGCCTCCTCTGAGATAGGAGGCTTGTAATCTTTGGCGAGCCCGATAGTGAAGGGGGCCTGGGAATATTGCCTGTATAGAGGCTGACAGGAGACCAATCATGCGTGCCAGGTGTTTGAGGGAGAGCCGGGTAGCTGCGAGCGTGCAACGAATCTCCTTCCTGATGGATGTCAGTTTTGTTGTTGCCAGGTGAAGGGTTTGAATCTAGGTGGAATCTACTATGAGTCCTAAGAACTCGATGTGTTGCGATGGAGTCAGAATGGACTTTTCACAATTGACTGGGAAACCTAGATTTTGTAACAAGGTGGTGGTCCACAAGAGCTAAGTTTCTAGAAGGGTAACAGCCTTAGCTAAAATAAGGATGTTGTCTAGGTATATCATGAGGCGTACCCCTCTGCTTCACAATAAGTAGACTAAAGGCTTCATGAGTTTTGTGAAGCACCATGGGGCGGAGGACAATACAAATGGTAGGCACTTGAACCTCCATTTGCGTACTTGCCAAATTAAGTGTAGGAAGTCTCAATGGAAACTTGCGATGGGTACCGTGAGGTAGGCATCTTTTACGTCCAGTTTGGCCATCCAGTCTGCCGGCTGTAGCAAATCTCTTAAGCAATGTACACATTCCATCTTGAAGTGATTGTATATTACATGACGGTTGAGTTGTTTTAAGTTGATGACTGGCCGAACACCTCCTCCCTTTTTGGGAACCAAAAATAAAATGCTTACATAACCCGGAGTATTGAGTGGAATCTCCGAGATGGCATGTTTGTGCATCAAATCTAGTACCTCCCTGGAGATGAGGTCTGTATCTAGTTGGGAAAAAAACAATCCTCCTGGGGGGTGAACATTGTACAGGCAGAGAGATGAAATCTATGTAATAACGGTGTACAGTCTAGAGAACCCAAGAATCTGATGTAATAAGGGCCCACACATGTGAAAAATGGGTGAGTCTGCCCCCCACAGCTATTAGTGAAGAAAGATGATTGAAAACACTTTCCATAGGGGCGTCGTGACGAAGGAGCACCTCATGTGCCTCAAGCAACCCATGGCCGGACACACTGTGGAAAGAACGTTGGTGTGGATATTTGATCAGGAAAATAGTTTCATCCTGTGTAGGAATCTCGGTTCGGTCTAAACTAACCTCTTTGATAACGGCAGGACAGACGGCTCCTGGTTTTTCCAGTCCCAACAAAAACCTTAGGGTGAAACACCCTCTTTATAATGGTTTGAGCCTTATCTAAGGCTGTGAAGGTTTGAATCTAGGATCCTAAGTCTTTAATGAAAGAATCCCCGAATAAGAAACCCTTGGCCTTTTTGGCTCAATGTTTAAGAGAATAGACTTGCGCCGTTCAGTGGCTAGTGCCGTATTGGCATTGCTGGTCAGGCAAATCAAGCACTGAATCCATCCACGGATGATCAGCGTGTCTAGGGGCTGATAAAGGGCCAAAGCCACTTTCAGTGCCTCAAAAACTTTTGCAGCTGGGCCCAAAATATCCAGGATTTTGTCCTGGCAATTCAGAGTGAGACGTCTAGACCCTTTCTGAGTTTCCAGCCAGACTTGCCTAAAAATTGAGCGATCTTTGGATTGACCTGAGGTGTTTTGCACACTTCGTCAGGTACTGTGGGGCATGGGCATTCAGCTCTCAACATATTACAGGTGACTCTTTCAAGAGGTTTGCGCACCCAGGCACCAATATAGCATGCCACATGCTCAAAAGGTGACCATTTGGCCGATCTTGGATGACGTAAGTCATCAGGGTCAAAAAGCGGTTCACCCTGTGGATCTAGAATTTTCTCTGCCTCAGATGACAATAGGTGACTTACTATAGTCCCTAAAGCCCCATCAGAGGGGTAAACATGAGAGGGGATTTCACCTTCCCCTATTGCATAGTCTGACTCAGGGTCAGATAAATCATCAGACGGGTCCAAAGCGGACTCCTGATCATACACCTCCTCATCACTGAGTTCTGACTCAGCAGAATCATGTTGGGCTTTAGCCCGTTTCCATAACCTTGCCGCTTTTACCCAGCCTGTGGCTCTTTTGTGCGGTGGATTCACTCGTGCGCCATCTGTGGCAGGTGGTATACTGTCCATCATAATAGTTTTGGCATGTTTTGTCGTTGCCAGTGCTTTACGGCCTGGATGAGAGGCAGTGGGTATCGCGACCGTCTGAGAGGTTGGAGGGACCGACATTTGAGCTTGTAATATGGCCTGTGTAAACGTCTTGGATAAAGACGTAGACATAACGTCCATGGCAGAGGCTAATGCTTTGGACATTGATTTGGACATGGTAGTGTCCAGAATAGATTGTATCTCATCCGAGACAGCAAAATCCACCTCGTCTGCAGAGGCCATAAGGGAGAAACCCACAGGAATTTGAGGGATAGTCTGTGATCCAGTAGGTGCAGGCAGGTCCTTATTAGACTGCATAGTATATTATTAGCAGACAACATACAGGCCACAAAATATAAAAATATATATAAATGAGTGCCTAAACCAACTCCCTGTCACGTATTCATCCGCACATGAAAATGTGGTTAATGGCATTTACTGTCCTGACAGGAAAAGTTGTGCCAAGCAACATTACCGTCCTGACAGGAAAAGATGTGCAGAGCAGCAATCATGCACATGGAAACCTGGTAATTACTTTTGGGGTCAAAGGCTGGTTACAGCCAATCAGATCCACAGAAGGGGCCTATGGTTATCCGAGAGTGCCTATGGTTATCCAAAAGTACATTCTTGATCTTGATTTTCTGGGATTTGACTTTGGCTTTGTTTTGACTTCCCTGATATCTGGTATCCTTGACTTTTGGCTTCCCTTTATCTTTGTGTCTGATTCTGTGTCCCTGATTATTCTTGGAGACGTTAGTCCGGCCATTCTAAGGTCCGGTTATATGTTATCTTTAGTCCTAGGTGTGACACAGTACTGCGTGCTGGATCAGCTTGTAATCCTGACACTCCCCAGGGTTGAATAACCCACAAGGAGTAAGAAAATTTAAGGGTAGGAGAAGTGAAGAAAACAAAATAGTTTTTAACAAAACTCACTGGTAGCAGAGATAAGGAGCCGTCCGAATGCCAGTACTACTAAACACCCACAGACCGTGAGGGGCAGTATGTGGGCAGGATTAGCAAAAAGCGCATGAGAGCTCTATGCGAACGAACTTTATTTGCGGCAAGCGATCGTTCGGGAAATTAAACTACCGTCGTCATACACGAACCTAGCTCAATCGGGAAAAACAGTAAATGAGCAGTAATGGTAAATGCGCTGTACGTGCGCATTCGCATTCGTAATAATAAAGAGGAACATACCAGAATACACATATAAAATTATATTAATATATAATATAATATATATATTAAGATAATATATGTCAAATATATAAAAACAGATCTCACAGTATGAGAACCATGGTATCCAGGTTCTACTTAACTGAGGAAGCAACAAAGAAAGAGGAAGTACTTGGTTTGGCTCCGCCCGTTATACCACAGAAGAGTTACTGATTGACTGACCTTGTTACTAGGACATGTGATTATTTTTATGTTTTTTTGCAGCATAATATGAGCCTCGGTGTCTTTAATAAAATTCCAACCTAGTCAAAAGTTATACTGAAACAAAGTAGCGAGTATTTTGTCTCATATTTTTCCTCCGCTTGACAAAAAGGCAGAGCTACCTTTTGTCAAGGTTCTTCTCATTTCCCCCAGCCATCAACAATAACGGCTGTAGGGGAAAAAAAGTTTTTTTTCTAGGGAGGATCCTAAAGTCTTCCATAGAGTTCAATTCTGTACTTTTTAAAATTCTTTATTTTGGTTGCAGAATTAAAATCACAGCTCATCACTCAAGTATTACAATAGTACATTTGATCAATTTGATCAGTACCCATTTCACAATACCCATAACATTTGGTAATAAGGTCTTATATTTAAAACCACATAGATAAGAATCACAAAAATTATGAAGAATTTTAAAACAAGGTGTAGTTCGGGAAGGAAAGGGGCGAAGGTGACTCCCACAGCAGGGCCCATTAATAGGACACCAATGCTCCATGATCCACCCATCAAGACATCTGATTCTCCTCCCAGGGCTTCCAAACTTTGTTAAAGGTCTTGATTGAATTTCATTATTATTTGCATTTCTAACCTTGGCAGAGAGCATATCCATTATATATGTATCTTTAATTTTTTTCTATCACCGTGCCTACCACAGGTGTTCTCCCTCTCCTGCAGTGCTGGGCAATGGGGCATGTTAGCTTGTTGAATAGCTTGAGAGTATGCATAGACATTACCTTCTTTTGAAGAGCAGGAAAGTCCATGGCTCAATTTCTGTTGGTCTCTGAAGTATTCCAGCGATCAGATCCAGAACAAGTTCCCAGAGTTGTACTGCCCTGGGGCATGTCCACCACATGTACATGTAAGACCATGAGGAGCAACTTGACAGATGTGGCATACCACCTAAACATAGTTTTGTAAACCTGCTCCTGTAGGGTGACACAGATTGAGAACTTGTGGGCATTCTCCCAGATTTGTTTCCAATCTCCTCCCACCAGCTATGTATGTTAATTTGCCTCATATAGCTTAAGATTCAATAATTTGGTTATATATAGTGGAGATACAGAGCTTTTGTGTGTTTTCCTAAAGACAAAGTTGTGAATACTCTACTCTTGCACCTGCACAAGAGTACAGGGCTGAAGCACCATTATCTTGAGAGGATTTGACGGACATGCGAGGGACAGGTACAGATGACCCTAGACGGTGACAGAGCCGTTTCAAGACCAAAATAACCCAACTGAAAATATCCTCTCAGTCAGCAATGTTTTTGATTCAGCTAGTCTGGCCTTAAATTAAAAATTTTATTTGAATTCTCACATGAGTAAATAAACATTTAAACTACGAATTGTCACAAATTGTCACAAATTTGATGGACTACAACCACATTGATGAATTGATTCACTTCAGCTATTACTACATTTTGCCTTCAGTTTACAGCTGAAATCCTGCAGGCAGATTAAAGACACCATCAACAAGCCCAATGTAGTGTAGAAGAGGTGCAGAGGGTACAATGCAGGAAAAGGACTGTTGAATTTAGGTGACTTTCCGATTTCCATTATCAATGTTGCTTTTGAGAGTACTGTTCTAGAAATTAGTCCTTGGTAAACATGATGCATTGTACTCACAAGGAAGCAAATAACTGCTGTTTCATGGCACTAAAAACTTTGTCTTTCTGATTGTTAAAGAAGCACTTGTATAGAGGGGCTAGTGGCCTGCTGGGCACCTTCATTGATTTTTATGCATTTGCCTGGTAGACCTACACACTATGCATGGCCTTTGGTACAGAGGATGGTGCTGTCTAATGTAATTTTAAACAAAACAATATACCCTCTTTGCATTGAGCATCTCACATGTATACTGATATCAGCAGAGGGAATCTTTCAGAGGTGTGATTAGGGGGTGTGTGACAGATCCATCTGTATAACCTGGGATTGCTGGTTCGTCTGTTTTGCCTTTTCATGGAATTACTCATTCGTATGCCTCTGTTCGTATAATTGACGTTTTTTGCCGAACAAAACTACCGAACGGACGGCCACCCAGAAGAGAAGTGTGCTGCTGGTTAACCTCTTGATCCCAATTAGAACGTTGTGGTTAACAGCAGACACTTCTCAATTAAATCCGAATGCAGGGTGGTCGTCGTTCGTACGTCGACCATGAGGCGGCGGCCATTTTAAACAAGCGAAAGACCAGCGGTGTTCGGCCCAGATTCTATGGAACTGAAAACGGACACTTTTTCCGCCGAACACCGCTAAAGCCGCCGACCTCCCTTCTCAATCAACAGAAGCACAAGAAGTACACGAACACCGGCCGTTCGGGAGTTTGAAACGCACGAATGGACTTAACCCAGATAGCCTTCCCATGGAGTCAATCGCATACCGAAAGACTGTAATAGACTTTGACTCCATGGCGATTGAACTATGCGTATGGGATCTGAGCGCTATTGGCCAATAATATGCACTCAGATCCAGGCTATCTGGGGATATGTGATACGAATGGGAAATGTTCGACAATTATAAAGTTATATATTTTTATGTGTTTTTTGTGTTGTATTTAAAATGGCGATTTGCCTCTGTCCTGGGAGATAATTGAATTACTTCTCAATTATCTCCAGGGCAGAGGGGAGGAAACCATAATGCATGCTGGGAATATTCTGTGCCTGTGTGTCCTAACATGCTATATGTATGTCTGCTATTACAGTCTCCCATTTGGTCCCCTAGGGTAGTGTCCACCAACTGTCAGGTATAGAGCTGAGGGATAAAAAGACTCAAAGACTCAACCTAATTAATTAGAGAACTACAGGATATTTCATGGGAAGATGGCTGTGTGTTGGCTACATGTGATGTCAGTAGCTTATACATGATCATCTCCCATCGTTTAGGGTGCGAGGCAGTGGAACATTTTTTATCCCTCAGTTCTATACCTGACAGTCAAAGAGATTTTATTTTGGAAGGGTATAAAATTAATTTTATATAATAATTATTTTTGTTTTAAAGGATCCTACTTTCTACAATTAATAGGTACTACAATGGGGACGATGTTCGCGCCTAGCTATGCAAACCTTTTTATATCCTTTTGGGGAAAATCTTTTCTCCAGGGGGGTCATGGTTGGGAAGCGAACTTGGTCCTCTATCGCAGATACATTGATGAGATCTTTTTTATTTAGAAGGGAGATGTGGAGTCCCTCAAACTATTCCTTACGTTTTTGAACAATAATGAGTGGAAAATATTTCTTACGTGCAAACACAGTCATACCAGGGTGCATTTTTTAGATTTAGAAATTTATATTGAAAATCTTAATATTAAAACTAAAATGTTTTTTTAAAACCTTGGCTACGCAATATCACCTTGGCTACACAATATCACAAAAGGGCAATTTATGAGAATTTTAAGGAATTGTAGTGCTTCACACGAATTTGATTTACAGACCAATATTTTGACCCAATTTTTTAGAGATAAAAAATATGATTTGGAGGTTTTAAATAAACAAAGACTAGAAGTCAAATCTATGGATAGAAAGGATGTGTTGCAATGTAAGACTAACTCTAGGAATTCGCACTCAAAGAATCATTCTAATATCCCAATAATTCTAGATTTTAATGAAAATGCCAAACAAATAAAACATTTTAAATAAATATTGGTATATCTTAAAAACAGACACTAATCTTCAAGGGATTATAGATGATAAACCAAATATTATATACAGAGGAGCAAGGAATCTAAAGGATAATTTAATAAATAGTTTTATCAGACAAGAAAAATGTACGAGTGACGAGAATTTTTGAAAACAAAAATGTGGTTTTTAATATTGTAAAATGTGTTCAGCCTGTAAAAAAAAACCATTGGTAATAAGGATACTTTAACAATCTTTAAATGACATGTATCAGGCGAAATTTTTTAAATTAGAAGCACTTTAACTTGTCACTGTAAAAATGTGGTTGTAACGAATCCCCTATACTCCAGCTGAGTATATCCGTGAAAAATCTCCCGAAATCCAAGCATAGAAGAAGTTGTAGTGATTATAACTCCCAATCCCCCAAATATGAGCCAAGACTTCATGAAGAGGTAAAGCATTCTGTTTAATGGAAGCCACGGCTGGCCTTTTATACAGCTGCAAGGGGCACTCCCCCCTCGACCTGAGTGGGGACAGTAACACAAAACAATTACCCAATGACAATGACACCCAGGTCCAGGACACTCCCACATAAACAGTATAATCCCTCCTCTGTACCTGGGCGATAATTGGGTTAAGTTGCTATTTTAAACTCAATTATCTCCAGGTACAGAAAATATTCATTCTTTTATAAACTCACAAAAACACTTTAAAATACATAAAGTCATATTTCGTACAACCGAACACCCAGAGTCTACACATCCCCAGATAGCTTGGATCTGAGCGCACAACATATCCAAAAAGCGTTCAGTCCCACAAACATAGTCGAATCGCCACTCGGGTGAAGAATTAACTGCTTGCTCTGGAGATGTCTGCCCAGAAATAGTTCCATAGTTTCAAAGATAGCGGTCGGTCTAATTCGAGAGTTTTCATATGAAATAAAATGTGAATTAATCAAAAAGGAGAATGGGTCCCCTGACTCATAGTGTGGTGTTTGTTCGGGAGATCCTGTCGAACAATCTTCCGAACAGCGATCTCCTGGCTTGCCACTAACAAAAGCAGGCGTTCATACTTTTCACCGGTGTTCGGGCAGTTGAGTGACCACCTCAGAGTTCCACGCACTTGACGACCAAGTCCCGCTGCCTGCTTTCGTGTGACAAGATGGCCGCCGTTTTCTCTACCCAGTGGCGTTCGGTTATACGAACGGCGGCCATACAAAGAGAGCACTGAATTCCTGTAGTCTGTTTTAACGTAATGAGGGGGTGGGGGGGTGGTCGGTGTTCGTAAGAATGGGAAACAAAATAGTAACAAAATGCCTGAACGGAGTAGGAGAATGACTCTGGGGAAAGCAAAATAGGGATTGGTGTATAAATATATAGTGCTTACTGAATAACTATAGTGTAGATAAAAAAGAATATGAAATGTACTCACAATGTACTGAGCAAACTTCCTGCTCAGATAGTAGCGTATGGGTGGTATAATCCCCACCTTGGGATTCTTTGGCGTTCCTTAAAACGGTGTAAATCCAAATAGTCAGGTTTGAAATGGTTACAATTTTTAAATGTAATAATATTAGGAATGTGGCAACAACAAATGTATTTTTGAGGCCAAAATTCCTTTATTACAATAATATAAAACAAATAAAATAAGATTCTAAACGTGTTTCACCACAATAGGCTTCTTCAAGTAGAATATAATAAAAGGGCATAAACCTGACAGACATTTCTTTATATAGGGTACATTGATTGAGTTGGAAATTGAATATTCCCGCCAAAATGACGTCATCACATATTTTGAATTTTAGAACACATAATAAAATAATGTATCATAAGTAAAAATATAATAAATATGCTTAACAGAGTGAGTTGTTTGTATAAATGATAAAAAACGAAACGTAAATAAGTGGTACAATAAATTCAAAGAGAGTCACGTGACGCGCGGCTAGATACTTCCGCATCATGTGATTAAAATTGGAACACATGCGTTCCACAATGCTGGAACACATGCGTATAGAGTGTAGGCCGGGTGGGCGGGCGGAGACTAATGCGGCGCGTCACCGGAGGGGAGGAGCCCTCCGGTGATCAGGCAGGGAACAGTGTGAGCATGCCGTCTGCTCGATATTACGGGCAGACAGCATGCCCGCAGATATAGACGGACATAACATACATGTATAATCACAGGGAGGCAATTATAAACATAGGCAGAAGTTGGGACATGTAAAAAATAACAACAATAGTGAATATTTAGATATATAGAAACAGTACTAATATAGTGGGTAATAGAAATAAGTATATATATGTAAGAGAAAAATAATAGAAATTATATAAAAAATATTTCTATATAAAAACATTTATATATAAAATATAAAAACATACAAAATTAATATAACACACATACTTAATATTAACATACAGTATACAGTAATTTTGTTTATTGTGAAGTTCTGAGTGCTCTTCTTCACGTTAAAGAATTTTTGTACTTTTCATTTTTTCCCACCATTATATTTGCACACTACACTAATGCAACATATTACATGGATAGTAAAACAGTTTTTACTTGTTTTTTTTTGCTTAGTTTTTATTTATGGTTCACACTGACATGAAGGTCATAACATTCTCAAATATCATCCAGAGGTGTAAATATAGAAAGTAGTAATACAAGTGCACAATATGCTATAACGACAAATATTATGGTTCTTAAATCTTTTTGTTTGTAAAGTTCCCAATCAAGTAATCATTCAAGATTCCTCTGTATGTGTCGTTATTATGAGCATATCTAATATTGTGCAAGTGCGTTAAGTAGTGAGTTCCTTGAATCATTCATAAGGCAAACTGTATAACCTGGATATAAAATTTTTCCACGGTTGCTTTTTATTCACAGTCTGGCCTTGACTGGGTTGTTACATTTTGCAAGAAGAAAATCCTCTAGTCCTTTAAGTAGTGAATGTAGTGGAAAACAACTTACTAGTTAGCCCTCCATAACTTCATTCAATGATAATTAGTGATGTCCCGAACTGATCGCTGAACGGTTCCCGAACTGTTCGCCATGGTTCGCCACGAACGGTTCGCCATGGACTCCAGTCAGCTAACACATTCCAGCCAATCAGCAGCACTCCCTCTCTCCCAGACCCTCCCACCTCCTGGACAGCATCCATTTTGAAGCTGCATTCTTTTTTTTTTTTTTTTTATTCTTTATTTTTGCAGTGCAATATATAATAAGTCATAACAGCAGGCGTATGGTGCCCCAATAGCATTCCTCACGCTGAATATCAACATTTTAACAATGGGGTTTTCATAAATCCTTGCACATTTTTTAGTTATTTAGTCGAGATTGTCCACGCTTAAGCTTTACGCTGAGTATTCGGTTAACAAGTGGGCCTGGGTAGGTCTTACAAAATCTTGGCCGCACAGTGCGTTAAGATAGTTACACTAGTTATTAGATGCAAGATATAATGAGAGTTACGGTTATACATTTTAGCGTTAAAGTTAACATGGATTCTTGCAGTGCCACAACAGCGACTGTAGGCATATTTTGAACATCAGGTTGCTTTGGCATGCAGTTAAAACAGCACGAATTTTGTTATTTTTCATGTAAAATTAACCCGCTATATAAAACAAGTATGTTAGTGCATAGATTACTTTGCTAGACAAAGAGTTACAGACCTTCCTTCAACAAGAACAATTGCAAACTATTCATCTGAACTAAAAGCTGTCTCATCAATCAGGTTATAGGGCAATTATAGCTTAATCGCTTCCAGTTACAGGCTCTGTGCACTCCTACAGAAACTAACGTAGTGCAGGTTACAAATGGTAAGTTATACGCAGGCTTAGTTATTACATCTAATGCAATGGGTCACGATGGGATCTACATGTTTATGCTAGTAGATGCAAATTGTAGCTTAAGTAAATGTGGGCTTTCAAGAAAATTACACGATTAGACTTCGATTTTACCACTGCCAGAGTAGGTAGGCGGGCGGCCACCGGGGCTGAGTGTATTCCTCTATTATTGGGTATTACTAATAGACATAGTAGTATAATTGCGTGGCTATGGTATATGTTAGAACACCTTTCAGGTGACAAGAGGTACATAGGTAGCTGCTGTCTCTTAGGTAGCTGATGTAAAACTACAGCTTCTGTTATTTAGTCAGTGTCCAGTGGTGGTGTTAGAGTCTCTGAGCTGGCATGTGTGACTCCTTCCCTTCGGACACTGATCCCTCACCACGGCAGTTCAGCTTCACCGGTTCTTTTCTGTGTGTGGTAAGTCTCCCCATATCAGGCTCGTGTAGGCCCGTTTGGCCGTTACCCGCTGCAGCACACTTTCATTTCGCGCCTTCTGCGCTTGGCCCCACCTGGGGGTATCCATTGCGGGCCCGGGGTCTCTCATTCTCCTATATCGCGGTGATCATGTCTGCGGTGTTCTTTTACTTGAAGCCATCCGGCAGGGCAGATGAAGGAACCGTGGTTCAAAAGGGGCTCCGTGGTGCAGGAGCAGATAATGTTCAGCTGTCTGCCGCCGCCATTTTGTGAGGCAGTTAGAGATTCTCCTCTCAGCCCCCGCCCGTCTCGGGCTCTCCCCAGTGGGGACCGGGATGACCCCCCCGGTCCAAAGGGGGGGGAACAGGGCCGGCAAGCAACTCAGGCAGTCAGCCTGTGGCAGCAGGGGAGGGTGACGTAGCGGCGGCCGTCCACCACGCTCCCCTCCCAGGTAGGCCGCAGCCCTCGAAGCTCCGTGCCCCTTTCAGAGGATCAGAACTCCCGATCTCGGGGTCCGCCGCCGCTCCCACAGCTATGGGTGTCTTTTGGCCCGTTTTGTGTGTGTGAAGATCCACTGTGAATAGCTTAAAAGGCCGGGTTTCCCCAGAGCCTCTCCTGCATGCGACCGGTCAGCATGGCGGTCCGGCCCCGCCCCCCTGAAGCTGCATTCTTAGTGAGCTGTCCAGGAGGTGGGAGGGTCTGAGAGGGAGGATCTGCTGCTGATTGGCTGGAATGTGTCAGCTGACTGGAGTCCGCGCGAACTGTTCGTGGCGAACTGTGGCGAACAGTTCGCGAACCATTCGGCGAACAGTTCGGGACATCACTAATGATAATAGACCTTGTGATCGGGGGAAGCCATGGAAGGTGTTTTACTTCATCTTGGTGTTCATTAAAGTGTCACTCTATTGTATTTTTCCAAAGGTTATTGTTCAGAGTACCCTATACTCTGAATCCCTGCTGTCTGTGGCTGATAACTGCAGTGATTTGAGGAAATCACTGCACCTATAAACCAGCCCCTTGCTCTGAAACACATCAAAGAAAACATTCTAACTTCTTCCATTGCACCTAACTCACAACTGGGATGGGATGTACATCCTCAACTAGAAATAGCCAGAGGCATGGCTGAGCTAGTGTGAGATCAGAGACTCGGTCCATCGCTGCCCACAGCCTGGTTTGTAAAGCCGTGAACCAGGATTTGAATATACTAACAACATCTCTTGTATGGCTGCTATCAGCGGTTCCAATCATTCTAAGTGGATAAGTGGAACTGCAGCTGGAATGTAAACTACTTATCCCAAAATCAACTGCTGAACAGGGGTTATAGGAGTAAAAAGAAAATCCAAAAAAGAGTAGAATGAGAATATTCTGATTGGTGGAACCTGTTTTTTTTTATAGATCGGGGCCTGCCAGCTTCAACATTTACCTGTCCAAGTATTACAGTTTTAGGATTATCAGGTGTGTATATTGTTTTCTTTTATAATTGTACTTCTATTTTTAAAGGCATTTTCTATATCAGGGATAAGCAACATATAGATTAAAAGGTAGGTTAATTCTTACTTATTGTGTATTTTTAACCATGACAAAGGTAACTTATCTGTCTAATGCAGTTTTCAGAATCATAAGAAATTGAACTATGACACGGGCCAATAGGAAGTAAGTACTGCCTATACATACTTACCTCTCCCACTCTTCTTGCCCTGTTGTAGTTCTGGTAGCCCAAGAGTGTGTTCCATTTACTTGATTCTCCTGATCTCTGGTATCTTTTGACCTTGGCTTGTTATAATGTTTATCCATATCTCTCCTGTCCTTGACCTTGGCATTTTCTCTGACCCCTCTACCATCCACTCTAAGGACCGGTATAGGGCTTGTCTATTTATTATTTTATAGTCTGTACGTTTTGGTTATATGCCGATCCTGACAATAAGTAATACTGTTATGTTTTATCAATCAAGTGATTTTGTGTTGGGCAGGTAGCCTGTTTCCAGTTCCCTGTTATGAGATTTCTAGCTGTTAGGCTTACTATAGCTGTAAATTGTTTAGAAGCATTTGTCTGTCCAATTGGGAAATACAGGAATAAATAAGTGTGTGGATTGGCTGGCATGTATTTTATGTGTAATACCCTCAATATAGTTGCAACCTACCTCCACAGTGGCTTAAAATCCCTACAATCCCCCCAAACGTGCATAATTTTCCATTTCTTCTCTACACAGCGCCAGCAGCAAGGTGATGTATTCGTATATATTTTATGGAGTTGGCTTTGTGTCAGGTTCCATCTATAAACCAAGTTTTTATGCACTGCAACACATGAGTAACAGAAAGTGAGGCCCTTAAGCGCATTCAATGACTGAATCCATTGTTTCCCCATTGGTGCCCAGTCTCATTTGGCCCTCCATTGTGTCATAAAACTGAATATTTTTTTTAGGAATGGACTCTAGTATGATTCTATAACATAGAGATAATCTTAGTGGACTAAGCCAATAACTATCATAAATTCTCTCCAGCATATTTAAGGAAGAAGTAGATGACGTGGGTGAGTCAGAATGGCAGTAAACATGGGTAGAAATGACACACTTCATTTGGAGTAATATATGAGTTGGGTAAGGCATATTTATATTTAATCTGAGGTAAAGACAGTATGACATCTTTATTAAAAGCATCACTTATGTAGTAAATTTCAAATTTACGCCAATTCTTCCCTGAGAGCCACGGTAAGACGGCCCCAAACACCCACACCGGCACTCTAGGATGACATTTTTGTGCTATCCTTATAGTTTTCTGAATTTGGTCCCGAACACGGAATGTTGATTCCATCATTGGTAACAGAGAATACACCTTATATCAAACTGATTTAGAAATCCACAAGATGTCCACCAGCGAGCCTCTGAGGACTTGACACCTCTCCATGTCCACCCACTGTAGTATGTCATTAGGTGTCATAATGCATCTTTACTGCCGATTCTAGTGTAGCATGATAGAAATCCAGTAAGTGTGGCAGTCCTACACCTTCCCCCTTTGCCAAACTTTGTAGAAGGCCCAAGGAAACTCTAGGCTTATGTGTATCCCAGATGAACAAATTACACACTGCCTGTAATTTTTTGCTAATGAATACCAGGATTTTAACTGGTAACATCCAGAATGTGTACAGGATTTTCAGAAGTAACACCATCTTTACCGCATTGATTTTGAGTAGCCGAGATAATTTAATCAAGTTCCATTTGAAAAGATCCTCTCTACACTTATGTACCGTAGTAGTATAACTTGATTTCAATTTTTTTGTCTAAAGACAATGCTATTGTGACTCCTAAATTAGTGATATATGTGCTTCTCCAGTCAAAAGTGTATGAACTCTGTAGACAAGTCGTTGTAGGTATTATTGCAATCAGGAAGGAAGATAGAACGCTGATCACAAGAGGCTTTTTTTTTGCATGTTAAAACTTATTATTATATCCCACAGTTGACACATAATCCCCTTGACACATAAACTTTTTTTCTTGTTTTCTTCCTAATGCACCTGCAATTCAGAAACTAATTATGGGACACCATAACAAAAAAAGAAAAATTGTGACGTGTTGTTTTGATCTGGGACTTTTAGGATGTATGTGTATAAGTACTTTTAAAAGGGACATATACAACAAATATTAAATAGATAAGCATGCTCATTTTACACTGTGAACAATGTTTAGATGATATAGTATCTGTACTTATTTAAACAGTGCACCAATACACTTCTATACGTATAGCCTTGATAAAAAGAATACATTACTTTGTCCCAGTTAGCTTAACAGCTGCTTGTGCTTTGTTACTATAACTGATGCATGCAAATAAAATACAAATTAAATGAACAATGCCTCCTTCATAAGCATATTAAACTAACATGAAGAGGGAGGTACACACATTGGCTAAGGAAGAAGAGTCCAGGAACAGACAAAGACATACATACATAGACATTAAGTTGCATGCACAAACTCAAATATACAACTGCACGCATACAGCACTTAGAACAAACATACTGCTTTCTGTAGGTTTTCAAAGTAACCATATCAAGGTGAGTAACAATTGAGACATGCCTGAGGAGATCTATGGCCAATGTGAGTGTGTACTTGATTTTGTATGTAGTGTGGTAAGGTACAGATATTGACATAGAGCAGGGCTAGGCAACCTTCGGCACCCAGATGTGATGGACCACAACTCCCTCGTTGCTCTTCTAGCCACAATTCAGGCAAAGCATCAGGGGGGTGTAGTACACAACACCTGTAGTGCCAAAGGCTGCCTACCACTGACATAGTGCAAGAGTGGCCAAAAGGTAGACACTAAGGTTTAAGGCTGGTAATGTATCATTTGAGTCATATTTATAGTGGAATGTGTGATTGTTCGTGTGTACTTGTAAATTATAAATATGTTCTTTGTCTCTTTGATAATGTAATATCAGTTAATTCAAATTCTTGTTACAGGATTCATATATAGGAATGGTTTAATTCAATTGCCAGTATGGAATGCAGTAGCTCTGTCATTAGTGACATTTGGTAATATACACTGTGGAGATTCCACTGTTGTTCTGTGATAATTATTGATACCTTTTTTTTTCTTTTTAGAATATGTACGGAAGTAGAAAACCCCTGTAAGTAATACATAAAGGTCCCTTGAGGGGTTTATTTATATCCTCATTACCACAGTGTATTGAATTGCAAATTCCAGGCTGTGCATATAGCTCAATGTTTTCAAATGAACTATTAGTGTTTACATTTTACAACTCATTTTTTATTTTTTTTATTTACTACAGTTCAGTATTTAGTGAATACATTCCACATCTTATTTCTGCTTATCATGGGATTTTTTTAAATTTATTTTTTTAGCATTTTTAGCAAACTGTATCTTTGTGTCTACCAGGTATTGCCGACCACCACTTCCTTCAACCAGACACGGTAAAATAAAATACGTATGAATCATTTGTACATTTTGATAAATAGCCTTAATGACTATTAATTGTTCCTCTGTTAGATGATGCTTGTGAAGGACAATGATTTTAAATGACATTCAAAAGAACTAATTTCATATTTAAAATTCAGTGGCATTCACCGGAAAATAGTGTCACAGAGTTAAATGTGATTTGATAATTACATTTAATAGATTGATTAAAGTGATTCTTATGTCTATAACATTAGATCCTTTGATCCTTTTCTTACTTTTCAGTCTAGGTTAATACTAGTAAGTGTTGCTGGGGGTTGCTCTGGGGGCTGAAACCCTGGATCTATACAATTGGGTGGGTGGGGGGATACTAATGTTTTTAAAAAAAAAATATATTTACATTAGGTAGCTACTTCTCAAAACAGCTGTCTATTACAAAAAGAAAGTTCAATAATATAATGCTCCGTAGTGCTAAAGGGAAACTTTAGACACCCTGACCACTTCATCTGATTCAAGTGGTCTGGTTGCAGTGTCCTTGTTCCTTTAACCATGCAATGAAAAACATTGAACATTTAGAGAAACTCTAATGTTTACATTTAAAGTTAACTCTGCCTCTATATACAGACGATAGAGGCGCTTCCTGCAGTTTCCCCACCCTCAGGGTCCCCCTCCCGCCCGGCTCTGGAAAGGGGAAAAAGGTTAAAACTTACCTTTTTCCAGCGCTGGACGAGGAGCTCTCCTCCTCCGATCCTCCTCTTCTCCTCCCATTCGGCTGAATGCGCACCCGCGGCAAGAGCTGCACGCGCATTCAGCCGGTCGCATAGGAAAGCATTTACAATGCTTTCCTATGAACGCTTGCGTGCTGAATCACGCAAGCGCCTCTAGCGGCTGTCAATGAGACAGCCACTAGAGGATTTGGGGGAAGGGTTAACCCATTCAAAAACATAGCAGTTTCTCTGAAACTGCTATGTTTATAAAAGAATGGGTTAACCCTAGAAGGACCTGGCACCCAGACCACTTCATTAAGCTGAAGTGGTCTGGGTGCCTAGAGTGGTCCTTTAAATCAGTGCTTTCCTATAGAAGGCCTAATGTGCACAATGAGCAGGCCGTGGGGGCATAGGAACACTATAGTGTTAGGAATAGAGCTTTGTATTCCTAACACTATAGTGTTCCTTTAAGTTGAAGGATGGTGCCCCCAGAAGACTTTCAGGAGCAGCTGTTGGATAAAAGAACTTAGCTAGGTAGCATAATGTAATTGCAATGAATACCTGACTGTGCAGAATTTGCTTGTTTATGACTATTCTTTGATTAAGATACTGGAGAGCATTGGTAGCTTATTATTTAAGTGTAGAGTGGTTTTAACATTACTGTGACAAATGCTCCTTCCTATGTACGTTTGCAATGGACTCCTGGAGGAGTGTGGAAGCCAGTCGGTAGGCAAGAGTCTGGCTATCACACTCCTCCAGCTATGGTCCAGGTCTGGGTCACCATTTGGGAGTTACTCTGCCCAGCCGCCATTAAGAGCTTTCCCTGGGTGCCCCTGGTTCGACACTTTCCCTTTATGCGAATGGAACCGAATGCTGGCTCTTTGTCAGCTGATCAAATGAGCCAAAACCACGAATAGTCCCAGCGGTACTTAGCCACGACTGCTATGGAACAAAATTCTGCATTAAGACTTTGTGGGTTCCCGGTCACCTCAGCGGGACTTAGTCGCGAATGTTATGGAATTGTTTTTGACATGAAGTGACGGTGCGGTTCCCAGACAGTTTGGTTTTCGGTTTTGAACCACTTTAAAATCCACCAGGAGAGTGCTTTTTGGGGGGAAGGTGCCTGAGACTAAGGGGAACAAACCCTACCCAAGACTTAGGTGGAGCACCCCGTATTGCAGCCGCAGGAGCTCCCGAAAGTTGACCAGCCAAAGCACCAAATGTCCTGGAACTGTTTTGGGCATAGGACCACGTGTGCAGACGGTCATAACTTTAACACGTGGGGGCGTTTCCCCTACACTGCAAGGATCTGAGCGATATTTGGAGAACTTAGGCGCTCAGAGATATTTAGGGATGTATTATTTGTGGGGTTATTTTATGTTTTTATGGTGTTTTGGGGTATTTTTATGTTTTTATATTTTTGTGTTTGCCTCTCTGTTCCTGGGAGATAATTATTTTACCGTTTTTTAGCGCAATTATCTCCCATGCCCAGAGATTCCTGGGAGGGGCTTGTGGTGAAGACAATTGAGACCCCCTGCTGGAGTCTGTGTATAAAAAGACTGTGTTTGGATGCATTAAACCAATTGACTCCCAGAACTATGTTTCGTCTTGTTCCTGTGGGAATGAATGTCTGCTTGTTTTAATGGTTCCAGAGTGGCTGAAGGAAGGACTTAGTGGAGGTAACCAATCGGGTTACCCGTGGTCCACTACAATTACATAGAAAGGCAGGGTGATATGTCATGTGAAAACCCCACCTCTCTCTTAGTGCAGAGTTTTCCTTTGAGCTCAAGCCCCTGGTGTTTTTGGAACCCTGGCTTCACATTACTAGCAGATCACTTGCTTGGTCAAGCGTAGAGTCTTAGGTCATGTATATTTTGCAAAACGTTGCCTTACATAAACAGACATCATAAGCTCCCTTGGCAGAAATTACTAACCTGTTTGTGTCAAAGTCCCACAAGTTGTCTTTGCTTAAAGGACCACTATAGTGCCCTTGGGTGCCCCCACCCTCAGGGCCCCCCTCCCGCCAGGATCTATGGGGAGGAAGGGGTTAAACTTACCTCTTTCTCCAGCGCCGGGAGGGGGACTCTCCTCCTCCTCTCTGCCTCCTCTCCTCCTCCTCGGCTGAATGCGCACGCGCAGTCGCTTGTGTGCCACCATTGTGTGCCCCTCTTTGTCACCTCTCGTCTGGTGGCCTTTTTGAGTTGATTAGTTCCCGTTTTTGTGGCTGGAATCCGCTTAACTTGTGCTGCAGAGCAGGAGCTGTGCGGGTTAGCGTCCTCTCGTCTCAGCGGTCAGGCCCTGCCCCCCTATTTTGCTATTTATGACTCACTCTAACCACCTATTTCCTCTGGTCTCCTACCAGGTGAATATCACAACATCCATGACTCATTTCATCCTTAATCCCTTAAAGGAAACTGTCAGTAAAAATGTTTTAATATCTTAATATAACCTTTAACTTTTAATATACCACCTTGTATATAATATTCATTCTTTAATGCAAGTATGCTCACGTTTGTGAAGAAATTTCTTGTCTGTCTATCTATCCTATTCCCCTTTTAACTGACATACCTTAGGTTGGACTGTCAGTTATCCCAGCCAATGCTCACTATTTCTCAGTAGTCCATTGCTTTTCAAGGTCACCTGACAGAAAATGCTGCAGGCAGAAAGAGCACACACTTTTGGAAAGCAACAGTTGAAATAAAGTGAGCATTCGTTCTGATAACTTTATGACTCAAGGTGCATAAAGCTGGCTGTCAGAAAGGGGGAGTGGGAAAGGTAGGCAAGGGTTTCTTCAGAAATCTCAATTAGAGATAGTAATTATAACCTAAATAGTATATTAAAATATTACATTTTTAAAACTTCATATATCCTTTAAGAACTAATGAGAACCCATGCCATCACCATAGACTGTTCTTTGAATGCTCGATACCACAATTTTTTAATGCTGCGTTGACATTAGTAGGAACTGAACACGCAACATAGTCCTATCCACTGAGCATCTTTCCAGCTATTATTATACAATTTGATGAAAAATAATACTTTATTTTTGCTTTTTTTCACAGAAAACAACATTGTACAGGTAAATAATAAACTAGTGAGAGTAAATTACTTTTCCCGTCTGCACTTACACCTACTTTATTCATCTGCCTGCCGTTTCTTTTAGGCCGAAGAGGAAGAAGAGGAGGATGACTTGTATGAACCACCTCCTTGTGATCTGAAGAGCTGGTTTCCACCCCCTGTAATGACAAAGCAAAACAGCACAAGTCTGTATTCAGGTATAAACTGAAGGGAAACATTATTGTGGAATTGAAATACATAGAATATGGTGACAGAAGTATTTTCCTACCTGTAACGGACTGCACGTAAGATTTTTTTTAGAGAAAAGGCAGTGTTTACATTACTGCCTAGGGACACCTTCACTGGCCACTCCTTAGATGGCTACTAGAGGTGCTTTCTGGGTGCAGTACTAACATTCAGCGTCTCCACGCTCTGCATGGAGACCCTGAACTTTCCCCATAGAGATGCATTGATTTAATGCATCTCTATGAGGAGATGCTGATTTTTTCACCACAGTGTTTTGCCAGACTGGGAACTAAATGCAGCCCTGAAAAAAAATTCTATACCAGCCCAATAATGCGTCGCGCCAGCATAGTGTGCTGATATAGAGGGTGAAAAAATAAAATTGAAAACTATTACTCCAACGAAAGAACGCAAATAGGGCTTCAAAATAAACAAAAGAGCGCCTTTATTTTAAGCATGTAATCAATGTTTCAGTACAACTACTTTGGCCTATTAAGGACATTTTAGTAATGGGACTGAAATGGTAAATGTATGAGTTTGCACAACTGAAAAAAAATGAAGTTATCTTGTTCATTTTGAAGTCCCATGGGTGCGCTCTTCGCTTTGAATATGTTATTTTGCATGAGTATGCAACTAGCAACATGACTGGGCCAATACGTGCTCATTACGTGCTCATTACATATATGTATATATTAATGACATTTATGTGTATATTATGCACATATAAATGTATATCACTATATGTGTAAATATTATAGGCATAATTATATATGTTACTAATACACACATCAATATACATGCATATATATATATATATATATGTGTATTACTGTCAGGATCACATCAATTACGTCTATTAAGTTTACCTCGTTTAGTGTATCTTGTCTCCAATTGTCTCCTTTTTGTCTCTTACAGCGACCCTTGTGTATCTTGTACTTCATCCCAGTTCCTGTGTGTTTCTTTTTACCCTTCTCCAGCCTCTGTATGTCTCTTTCCCCCAGCCCCTTTTGTGAATGTCTTAGCCCCAGCCCCTTTCTCTCCTTCCAAATCTCATCTGTGTCTCTTTCTAACTCCAGATTCTGTGTGCCTCTTTCTCTTCTCCCAGTCACTCTGTGTCTCTTTTTCCCCCAGCCCAGCGTTGCCTCCCACAAATCTTGTGTCACTTTGTTCCCCTTCCCTTCTGTATGTCTCTTTGTCCCCCCCAACAAACCTTCTGTGTGTCTTTCTCCCCTCTCCTCCCTGTGTCTCTCTTCCCCCTCTCCTCCCCGTGTCTCTCTTACCCCTCTCTCTTTGTCCCCCTTCCCCTATCTCTATTACTCCTCTGTTTCTTTGTCCCCCATCCCCTGTGGCTCTCTATTACCCCTCTGTCTCTTTGTCCCCCCTTCCCTTGTGTCTCTCTATTACCACTCTCTTTGTTTCTCCTTCCCCTGTGTCTCTCTATTACCCCTCTCTTTGTCCCCCCCTCCCCCTGTGTCTCTCTATTACCCCTCTCTTTGTCCCCCCTTCCCCTCTGTTTCTGTGTCCCTGCTGTCTGCTGACCTTGTCACAGGGGGACTGAGGGAGGGAACAGAGCTAACTACCATACTCCCTTGCGGTTCCCATAATTCACTACTCAATGATGTGGCTGTGCTGGGAATTATGGGAACCGCGAGGGAGCAGGTAGTTAGCTCTGCCCCCTCCCTCAGTCCTCCTGTGCTGACAGCTATGCTGCTGTCAGTATCAGTGAATGTGTGGCCGGACTGGTTAGGCGGCCGCCCGGCACACTGACTGATACTGACAGCAGTCATACAGCACAGGAGATGGGGCCGCCGGCCGCAAGGTAAGTATAACCCCTCAGAGTGTGCTGCCGGATCGGCCACCCGACGGCACCAACATGCGGCCGTGATTTTATTAAAAAATAAATGCAGGGCTCCCTCTCTATAGGGAGTAAGAGTTCTGCAGCCCCCAGGTGCTGCGTCCTACCGGGAAATTTCCCGATATCCCGGTGGGCTAGTCCGGCCCTGCCAATGGTTTCCAATTCTGATGATCACAGAGGTGGAGTGGGGCAGAGCCAGTGCCGGCTGACCTGCGCAGCCCTGGAAAACAGGTAAGTTTTTACCTTATTTAAGGTGATCAAGGGGGGCATCTTAATTGTATTTTTAATACTATAGGGTCAGGAATACATATTTGTATTCTTGACTGTAAGGAAACCAAGTATATTTAAACCTCATTTGGTAGTTTCCTCCCGAACCGCCAGAGCCTTAGTGATTATAGCCCTCCGTTCGGTAGATAAAGTAGACGAACCATATAGTAATCCCAATAGCTTCACAAGATGTTTCCCTTAGTGAAACACATGAATCCCCAAACATCAGCCGAAGTCAAGAAGAAGGGTACAAAATGAACTAACTTTTAATGGGTGCACACAGGCTTTTATGCAAGTCCCCATGCAAGGGGACATCCCTCAGGGAGGGACAAAGATTAACCAATCACGTACTGTAAAAACATAACACACACCCACAGTTCCCTCCCCTAGCTCTGGAGATAATTAAGTCTGATAAAATAATAACTTAATTATCTCCAGGCAGAAAAATCAAATTTTTCCCCAATAACTGGGACACCCCTTTATACTTGGAGTATGCCCACAAATAACATGTCCCCTTAAAGCCCTGATCTGGGTGACCAACATATCCGAATTTCACCCAGATCAGTTCAGGGTTCACAAAAAACTATGGAGGTCTTCTGTGACCGGCTCATCCTGGGCTATATGCCCAAAACAGTTCCATGAGTTTGGTGGGTTTTACCGGTCACTTTAGAAAGAGGAGAAAAGCGAACAAAGTACCGAATGGATCCCCCGGCTCTTAGCAGCGATCGTTCCCCTCTGTCGAATGCACCAAAGTACTGAATAGCGCTCTTCTAGCTATTCGGTAAGTAGAGTTCCAGCATTCGTCTGTTTGAGACCGGTGTTCGGGAAGTCGAGTGTCCGATTTCAGTTCCATACACTCGACGACCAAGTCCCGCTGCCTTTGTTCGCATGAACAAAGATGGCCGCGGTTTTCTCTGCCACGGGGCGTTCGGCAGTACGAATGCTGGCCGCACAGACAGAGGCATCAATTAAAGCAGTCTTTGATGTTTAACGAGCCGGGGGGTGGTCTTTGTTCGGTAGTTACATCTACCGAATGCAATAGGCAGAAATAGTGTAATAAAAGGGGGATTTCTTCACACTGACCATATAGTTTTCCTTTAAATAGTAGTGAACTAGGGATAACCACACACAAGAGGGATTTGGGAATTGTTCTAGACAACAAATTAGGCAGCAATATGCAATGTCAATCTGCCGTTGCTAAGGCCAGCAAGGTTTTGTCATGTATAAATAGGGGCATAAATTCTCGAGATGAAAATATAATTTTGCCTCTTTATAAATCGCTGGTAAGACCACACCTTGAATATGCTGTGCAATTTTGGGCACCTGTCCTAAAGAAAGAAATCATGGCACGAGAAAAAGTGCAGAGACGAGCTACAAAATTGATAAAAGGAATGGAGCATTTTAGTTATGAAGAAAGGTTAAAAAATGTAAATCTGTTCAGTTTGGAAAAACTGCGCCTGAGAGGGGATATGATAACATTATACAAATATATTCGGGGCCAGTACAAACCATTATCTGGAAATCTATTCATAAACAGGGCTATACATAGGACACAAGGTCACACATTTAGGCTGGAAGAAAGGAGATTTCATCTAAGGCAAAGAAAAGGTTTTTTTTTACAGTAAGAGCAATAAGGATATGGAATTCTTTGCCTGAAGAGGTGGTTTTGTCAGAGTCTATACAGATGTTTAACCCCTTCCCGACCTCGGACGTATCACAGCTATTTTGAACCCTGGAAGCTCTGATAGTATTGCAGTGATGCTCTGCATGTGCTGAGTGCCTCGAGGGGTCCTGGCACTCAGTGCATATATAATAATATAATAATATATATAAAAAAATAAATATAAAATAAATAAAATGATCAATATTAACCCCCCCCTCCCTTTCTAAAGGCAATGAGTCATGGGGCTTTTGGGGGGGGGGGGGGTCCCTAGCCTGCCTCATCATAAGGTGCAGGCTGGGGTCATCCAATCACAGCTTGCCCCATTAGCAATTTCATCCCAAGTGTGTTCCCCATTTCTCTGATTAGTGTGGACATGTCTCCCTCTCTTCACTTGTGTTTTAGTGAGAGAGTGAGAGAGATCTATGGTTTAGCTAGAGAGATTTATGTATTTTTAGGTAGAGATTTGTAAAATCTTGAGACCCAAAGGCTCTTTTCAGAGTGCTTAACCCCTGTCTTGCCAGTGGTCACTATAATCACTGGCTCTTGCACAGCAGCACTTATTTTGCTGTCTGTTCATTTTTTTAGGGGTTAATTTTTTTGTCTGATTTTTTGTTGTTGTGACAGGTCACTAAGTAAAGTGATTGTGATCATGTCACATGGGTCACGGGAGTCAACCAGCGCTGAGCAGTCATATCCCACCCTTGCGCTAGAGTCTGACGCGTCTATGTCAGACTCCGACCCTGATTTTGACCCTGCCAGGTGCTCAGATACATCATCACTAGATACAGTGTCTGCTGCTAGTGATGTATCTAGTGATGTTGTATCTGTGCCTGCTAGTCCCCCTGCCAGAAGGAGACGTGCTGCTCCAGCTGGCAGAACTGCTGAGAAGTGGGTAGTGCCTCATCGCCAGAGGCCAGACATCCCATCCTTTCCTGCAAATCCTGGCATTAATTTGGATGTCACAGGATTTAGCCCTCAGCAGTTTATGGAGGTGTTTCTGGGCGATGATGTATTGGGGAATATTGTCGCCCAAACTAATTTATATGCCCATCAATTCCGAGCTACAAATCCTGACTCTTTTTTGGCAAAGCAGCAATGGGCCCCCATCGATGTGCCAGAATTTAAAAGATTCTGGGAATTGACTATGCTGATGGGCATCATAAAGAAGCCCTCCATCCGCTCCTACTGGAGCAGTAGCTCCATCTGCTCTACCCCCATTTACTCCCAATGTATGTCGAGTAAGAGGTATGAAATGATTCTGCATTTCAGGCACTTCATCGACAACAGCCTGTGTCCCCCTAGGGAGCATCCCCAGTTTGACAGGCTGTATAAAATCCGCCCCCTGATTACCCACTTCGCTGCCAGGTTTGCAGAGGCTTATACACCTGGAAGGAATATATGCGTGGATGAATCCCTGATGAAGTATAAGGGAAGGCTGGGATTCAAGCAGTATGTTCCTTCCAAGTGCTCTAGGTATGGTGTAAAGATGTATAAGCTCTGTGATAGCGAGACTGGGTATACTCAGGCCTGTACGAGGGAAAGGATAGCCACCTCGACCCTCCAGGTTGCCCAGAACATATGGGAACCAGTGGCAAGATTGTCTGGGACCTGATATTCCCCCTGATGAACAAAGGGTACCACTTGTATACTGACAATTTTTATACAAGTGTCCCTTTGTTCAAGCTACTGTACTGTTTTGATACAGTAGCTTGCAGCACAATAAAAAAGAACAGCACAGGTTTCCCAGGACAACTTGCACGCACCCGGCTACAAAGGGGGGAGACCTCAGCTCTGCACCAAGAGGAGCTGTTGGCAGTTAAGTACAGAGACAAGAAGGATGTGTACCTTCTTACTACCATCCACACTGAGGGGACTGTGGAGGTCCCGGGACGTGGCAGAGCTGAGAGAACAAGGAAGCCTATAACCGGCATATGGGTGGGGTTGATCTGGCAGATCAGCTGCTGAAGCCCTACCTAATTATACGAAAAACAAGGGCCTGGTACAAAAAGGTTGCAATCCCCAGTGCTAGACTCTTCGTCGGGACATAGCTGCATCCCGCAGAGCAGCATACGTTCTATTCGTAGATCACTGGAAGACCTAAGATTGGCTGACTGCTGGAGGACACTTAACCCAACGGTGAAGGATTACACCTACTACTCCGCCCTCCACAATCGGTACTCGCGCATAGACTACCTCTTCATCACACAAGAGGGAATTACCTGCCTGCTTAGATCCGACATAGACCCAGCCACGTGGTCTGATCATGGTTCGGTTTGGATGGAACTGGAATCCCCTCTGTTCCGACCATCGTCCTGGACCTGGAGACTCAACGAGGCGATGCTGCTAGACCCCACCGCAAAAGATCAAATAAACCAGGAACTGGAACACTACTTCAGGGAAAATGGCGTGCCTGAAGCATCCCCGATATCTGTGTGGGAGGCCCACAAAAGCGTCATTCGCGGTATATTTATCCGCATTGCGTCGCAAAAACGAAAAGCAAATATGATCGAGATGACCGACCTGTACCAGAAGATAACTTCGCTGGAGAGCCAACACAAACGGTCACAGCTGAACGGAGTCTACGGGGAACTGATGGAACACAGGAGGAAACTTAAAGACCTCATCACACGAAAACACCTTCGCAATCTACAACGTACAAAAGGGTTCTACTATGCCCACGCTAATAAGGGGGGGAGATACCTGGCTAGGCTACTAAAGGGCCCCATGCCCCGCAGGCAAATACGACAACTACGACTGGCCTCGGGCGAGGTGACCCCCTTCCCACAGAAGATAGCTGATGAGTTTCGGACCTTTTACCAAAACCTTTACAACTTACATCCTCCCCCTCGGACGACACTCGTAGCAAGCCACAACACGAATAACAGACTACTTGTCCGACACGATCACTAACGTGATCGACCAAGACTCGGTGGCCGTGCTCGACGCACCGATCAGCATGGAGGAGCTAGCGGCTGCCCTCAAAGTATCCAAATCGGGCAAGGCCCCGGGTCCAGATGGCTTCTCAACTGGTTACTATAAGAGTTTCTCCAATCTCCTACTGCCATGGCTGACCAAAGTGATTAACGCGGTGGGTGAGGGCGGGAACCTGGGCGCGGAGTCCCTGGCAGCGACCATTACAGTCTTGCTTAAGCCAGGAAAGGACCCACTACTCTGCGGAAGCTATCGTCCAATTTCCTTGTTAAACGTAGACGCCAAGTTATTCACCAAGTTATAGCAAGCAGACTCAACCACCTCCTACCGGATCTGATTCACGTAGACCAGACAGGCTTCATCCCGGGACAGGAGACTAGGGATAGCACTTTGCGGCTGTTCTCCATCCAACAACACGCCAGAGCAATGAAAACCCGGCTACTCCTCTTATCAACCGATGCGGAAAAGGCATTTGATAGAGTCGACTGGACGTACATGATGGCCACTCTACAACGGATGGGATGTGGGCAGAGGTTCCTCACGTGGATATCAGCCTTATATAGTAAACCACACGCGACTGTGAGAGTTAACGCGTCCACGACTGCCGACTTCGCGATAAGCAATGGCACCCGTCAGGGTTGCCCACTCTCGCCACTTCTCTTCGCAATGTCATTGGAACCACTACTCCAGGCGATTCGCTTAAACCCAAACATTCAAGGCTATAACTGGCAAGATACACACCATAAAGTAGCCGCGTACGCGGATGACCTCTTGTTTTTTGTACAAAGTCCTAGGACAACACTACCCTGCCTGCTCTCGGAATTCGACAAATTTGGTCGAATCTCGGGCTTCAAGCTTAATCTCTCAAAATGCGAAGTCTTGAATATCACGATTCCTACCGAAGAATACGCATCCCTTGATTCACAATTTCCTTTCCGTTGGTGTTATGGTAAAATGAAATACCTGGGAATCTGGGTGGCTACGGTCCCAGACGACACTTATCGACTCAACTTTGCTCCCCTCCTGAAGTCAATCGTGACTGACTTGAATAGGTGGTCGTACCCTCACATAACATGGCACGGCAGAGTGGCAGTACTCAAAATGAATATCTTACCGAGAATTCTCTACCTCATGCAGACAATCCCACTGGCCATACCAAGTATCTTCTTTTCCTCTCTGAAAACGGCTATAATTAAATTTGTATGGCGCGGCGATCGCTCCTGAATCCGACATGACATCCTTTGCCGACCACGAAACCACGGAGGACTCGCACTCCCGGATTTCAAGAAATATCATCAAGCCACGATAATGCAACGGATGCTGGACTGGCACCAGGACCCCACGACGAAACAATGGGTAGAGCTTGACAAAGGCCTACTCGGACCATCACTCGAGATGGAGATATGGGGAAGTGCGAGGGGTCAGGTATCCAACGGATACGGCTGGAGGTCGCTGAGGAACCTGGGGCACATCTCGCCTACCCCCATCCCCATGATTCCGATTACGCATAACGTGACTTTAGGAGGAGGACTACAATCAGGGGCATGGCCCATCGCGGGCACTAGGAACTATATCCCCATCTATCAAATTCTTGAAGGGGGCAGGTTGCGGGACCTGACCTCACTGTTGGGGACGGAACCTAGGACCCCTCTTGCGGTCCTCAGATACCTACAGTTGCAACATTACTATAACTCGATGCCACATAAAGACCGCCTACATCGCGATCTCACCTGGTTTGAAGGCCTATGCGTCCGGGGCACCCCACTAGACCACGCAATCTCGTCGATGTACCAACACTTACTTATAGGGGATACGACTCAGGCCTCCACCTTCCGCCGTCAATGGGATGAACAACTCGGAAAGACACTCACACCCGCACAATGGGATGCGGCATTACTTTGGCAGCAGAAAAGCTCTATGAGTTCGTACTACCAGGAGGTCAACTACAAATTGCTCTCATTATGGTACAGGACCCCGACCTTGTTGCACAGGATCTTCCCATCAATCACCCCATTGTGCTGGAGATGCCAGGCAGAACGCGGCACGCTGATACACATATGGTGGGAATGTAGGGACATCGTCCCATACTGGGCGATGATTAAGGAAGCCGTAACCGACATCCTGGGAGACATTCCGGATTGGAGCGCGGAGCTGGCCCTGTTACACATCTCGACACAACCCATCCGGACGTACAAAAGATCTATACTACGCCACTTGCTAAACGCGGCCAAAGCTAACATACCGGCACTCTGGAAACAACGCAATACACCGTCGAAGAAAGAATGGATCCGCAGGGTGAAAGACATACATGGGGCGGAAGACATTCACGCCTCTCTGACCGACCGTAAAACGAAACATATGGAGATGTGGCTCCCTTGGTTCATATACATTACCCAGTACAGACAAGCAGAAGACGCTCCTGAACCCACTAATGGAGCGGCAGCAGTCACTGGTTCCACTTGACGCAGACCAACCCACCCTACACCCCTTTCTTCTATACCTACTCCCTATCTATCCTTCTCCACCTCTGCAATCGCTAAGCTAACAGGCTCCGGAACTCGGGCTCAGGGGGAAATACCATTGGACATGCAATTTGCTACACTCTCACGTCACATATGCTTCTAGCCCTCGCGGGGCCTGAACGATCAACCATAGCTTGGGGAACACGAGATATACTTAGATACACACACTATTGTGGCACGAATCGAAGTAAGGGACAACACACGTTCATAGCTTACGGTCATGTACCACGTAGACCTACATCACACTCACTATATGCTAACGCTGGTACACACACCAATGACATAGTACACTCACTCACACTGGACAATTGCATTGTCACTGACAACTACATGTAACTCGCAATACGGGATATTGGCGAACTGCAGGCTCTGCCAGGAGTGGTAACGATGTTGGCCATAGCCAAAGCTAGCTACGAACTAAGACTACTCCCACCACTTCTGCGTGCTAGGATATACCTAGCGACTCCAAAACGGAACTACGAGTCCGAACCCAGAAGGAGCAAGTGACCCGCCTTTCCTTTAATTGCTTCAATTTCCCGCCCAAACGACCAGGTAACGCATTGTCATGTGGCTCCCATCATAGACAGTTGAGAACAACCTGTCCTGACGCAACTTCTGTTTGCCCTTTACACATACTCTGGTTAAGTGAGGCAATCTGATTGCTCCAGATGTTCTATTCTGTATGATACTACCGTTTCTCCCCGTCGTATACCTACACTGCCTTCAAAGTGTGAACAGCATATTCACCTTGCTCGGGGACCTGCGAGTCTCCCTATGGAAAGTTGCGCGGAGATCTGCATACCTCATTGTATTGTATAATGTGTATCTATAAACAACAGAAACCTGCGAGTTTCACACTGTTTACCAACTAACTGCTTTCCACATTTTGAAAATACCTTAATAAAAAGATTTACAAAAAAAAAAAAAGGTTGCAATCTACCTAATGCAGATTGCAACCCACAATGCTTTTTTGTTGTTCAAAAAAGCAAACCCCCAAAATCCCCAAAGTTTCAGCTCCAGATCACTTTGGGGATTTTGTACCGTGATGCACCTGCTCCCTGGGCGGTGATGGGAGAGAGCAGAGTTGGGGCTACACATTTTATTTTTAAAATTCCCCCTACTGCGGCAAAGCAGAATCCCCCAAAAAGATGCAGGGTCAGAGAAAAGAGGGGGCAGAGAAAAGATAGTGTATATCACTGTCCTGATTGCCCTGGACAGCCTGGACTCTGCATTGGAGACTGCTTCAAATGATACCACACGCTGGTCCATTTTTTATTTATTTTTTAACATTTTCCGTTCAGTTTTTTTGGTGTCTTTTTTGGGGGGGGTTTGTTATAGGGGGCACGGGTGTCCTAAGCAGTGTTGTATCCTGGTTTTGTGCTGCCCTAGGCGCCTGCGGCGTGCGAGGGAGCTGAGCATACAGCTCAGGGGAAAGTGCTCCCTCGCCAGCTGCCCACCAGCGCCGCCCACCAGCACCGCCCGCCTGGCTTGTCAGTTAGCCTTTAGGCTAACAAGACATTTGCCCAGTGGCGTCTCTAGGATTAATTTTTAGGGGGGGCACGTGGTGGGCCAGGGACAAAAGTAGGGGGGGCACATTTAACCCCGCCCTCGCTGCAGATTGAGCCCGCCTTTGCCGCATGTTAAGCCCCGCCCCCGACACAATGTGTTGTATTTTTTTAATAATCCCTGGTGGAGGATTCATTATTTTCCACTAGGGATTATTAAAAAACAAACACATTTCCCTTGATACAGTGCCATAGTTGCAGCACAGCTATCAATTACTGTCTGTGTATAATATCCCTGGACAGTCAGTGCCCTCTGTATAATACAGGGTTGTGTGTATAATAAATTGGGACAGTCAGCGGTCCTTGTACAGTGCTGCTCTCTGTATAATACATGGCTGTGAGTATAATATCCCGGGAGAGTCAGTGCTCCTTGTATAGTGCTGATCTCTGTATAATACAGGTCTGTTAGTGTATAATATCCTAAGACAGAGAGCAGCACTATACAGGGAACACTGACTGTTCCAGGATATTATACAGACACAGACCTGTATTATACAAAGAGCAGCACTATACAGGAAGCACTGACTATCCCGGGATATTAAACACACAGAGATCTGTATTATACAGAGAACAGCACTATAGTATTATACAGATAGCTGAGTATATACCCCATGTCCCAATCTCTAGACTACTAGTACCTGTCAACAGCAGCTCACGCGTCTGGGACAAGGCTAAAGTGTGCGGCAGCTCAAACAGATGATTCAGCGGTAAAGCACACTCGCTGGCAGAGCCAAACTGGGAATCCAAAGCAGCCCTGGAAAAACATGTATGCCATTCCTACAAGTCAATATATAAATATATATATATATATATATATATATATATTGTACAGTGAGAACACAAGCTCACTGACAGACAAAAAACTCTGGCTCACACACAAGCTTACTACAGACAAACTCACTTGTATAAATACAAGGCTCACTACAAAGAAATTCAGGGACACACACAAGCTCACTAAAGAGAAGCTCACTGACACACACATGCTCACTAAATAGAAGCTCACTGACACACACAAGCAGTACCATCTTAACAGTGTTAAGGGCCCCGGGCAAAGCAGTGCACTGGGGCCCTTCCTACACAACAACTCACAGGAATAACAATTTTAATTATTGATAGACTGCTGAGTACATACACACAGTACACTGAATACAAACACAGAGAGACTGCTGAATACACACACAGATTTCTGAATGCACACAGGCTGATTTATACACTTACACACAGACTGCTGAGTCCATACACACACACTGCTGAGTCCATACACACACACACAGACATACAGACTGCTGAGTCCATACACACACAGACACAAACACAGACTGCTGAGTCCAAATACACACACACAGACTGCTGAGTCCATATAAACACACACAGACTGCTGAGTCCATACACACACACACACACAGACTGCTGAGTCCATACACACACACAGACTGCTGAGTCCATACACAAATACAGACTGCTGAGTCCATACACACACAGGCTGCTGAGTCCATACACACACACATACTGCTGGGTCCATACACACACACAGACACACAGACTGCTGAGTACATACACACACAGACGCAAAGACTGCTGAGTTCATACACACACACAGACGCACAGACTGCTGAGTCCATACACACACACCCACATACTGCTGAGTCCATACACACACACACAGACTGCTGAGTCCATACACACACACAGACACACAGACTGCTGAATTCATACACACCCACCCACAGACTGCTGAGTCAATACACACACAGACTGCTGAGTCCAAACACACACAGACTGCTGAGTCCACACACACAAACTGCTGAGTCCACACACACACACAGACTGCTGATTCCATACACACACAGACTGCTGAGTCCACACCCACAGACTGCTGAGTTCATACACACACACACACACACACACAGAATGCTGAGTCCATACACACAGACTGCTGAGTTAATACACACACACACACACAGACTGCTGAGTCCATACACACAGAGACTGCTGAGTCCACACCCACAGACTGCTGAGTTCACACACACACACACACAGACTGCTGAGTCCATACACACAGACTGCTGAGTTCATACACACACACACACACACAGACTGCTGAGTCCATACACACACACCCACAGACTGCTGAGTCCACACACAGACTGTTGAGTCCATACACACAGACTGCTGAGTTCATACACACACAGACTGCTGAGTTCATACACACACACAGACTGCTGAGTTCACACACACACTGCTGAGTTCTAGACTGCTGAGTCCATACACACACACCCACAGACTGCTGAGTCCATGCACATACACATAGACTGCTGAGTTCATACACACACACAGACGCACAGACTGCTGAATTCATACACACCCACCCACAGACTGCTGAGTCAATACACACACAGACTGCTGAGTCCAAACACACGCAGACTGCTGAGTCCAAACACACACAGACTGCTGAGTTCATACACACACACACAGACTGCTGAGTCCATACACACAGACTGCTGAGTTCATACACACACACAGACTGCTGAGTCCATGCACACAGACTGCTGTGTTCATACACACACACACACACACAGACTGCTGAGTCCACACACACAGACTGTTGAGTCCATACACACACACAGACTGCTGAGTTCATATACACACACACACAGACTGCTGAGTCCATACACACACACCCACAGACTGCTGAGTCCATGCACATACACATAGACTGCTGAGTTCATACACACACAGACAAACAGACTGCTGAATTCATACACACCCACCCACAGACTGCTGAGTCCATACACACACAGACTGCTGAGTCCAAACACACACAGACTTCTGAGTCCACACACACAGCCTTGTGAGTCCTTACACACACACAGACTGCTGAGTTCATACACACACACACAGACTGATGAGTCCATACACACACACACAGACTGCTGAGTACACGCATACAGACTGCTGAGTTCACACACACACACACACACACAGACTGCTGAGTCCATACACACACAAACTGCTGACTTCACACACACACACACACACACACACACACACACAGACTGCTGAGTCCAAACACACACAGACTTCTGAGTCCACACACACAGCCTTGTGAGTCCTTACACACACACAGACTGCTGAGTTCATACACACACACACAGACTGATGAGTCCATACACACACACAGACTGCTGAGTACACGCATACAGACTGCTGAGTTCACACACACACACACAGACTGCTGAGTCCATACACACACAAACTGCTGACTTCATACACACACACACACACACTGCTGAGTCCACACACACAGACTGCTGAGTCCATACACACACACACACACACACACACAGACTGCTGAGTCCATACACACACACAGACTGCTGAGTTCATACACACACAAAGATGCACAGACTGCTGAGTTCATACACATACACAGACTGCTGAGTCCAACACACACAGACTGATGAGTCCACACACACACACACACAGACTTCTGAGTCCACACACACACACAGACTGCTGAGTCCATACACACACACACACACACTGCTGAGTCCACACACACAGACTGCTGAGTCCATACACACACACACACACACACACACAGACTGCTGAGTCCATACACACACAGACTGCTGAGTTCATACACACACAAAGATGCACAGACTGCTGAGTTCATACACACACTGAGTCCAACACACACAGACTGATGAGTCCACACACACACACACACAGACTTCTGAGTCCACACACACACAGACTGCTGAGTTCATACACACACACACACACACACACACACAGACTGCTGAGTCCATACACACACACACACACACACACACACAGAATGCTGAGTTCATACACACACACAGACTGCTGAGTTCATACACACACACACACAGACTGCTGAGTCCATACACACACACTGCTGAGTCCATACACACACAGACACACACAGACTGCTGAGTTCATACACACAAGCTTCCTCACTAGCAGAGACACACACACAAGCATATTAAGCCTACCTGTCACTGGGGGCTGTTGCTGGGGGTCAGACAGCCATCTTCCATCCTTTCTAGCTGCAGCATGCTCGGCTGCTTAATGGCAGGGGTGGGGTTTATGTGCGGGAGGGGAGCTTCGTTTGGGGGCAGGGCCTGTGCGGGGGAGCCTGTCAGTGCTCCCTCCAGCCACAGACAGCCCCCAGCACCTCAGTCCTGCATTCCCTCGAGCTGTAACAGATTGTTACAGTCCGAGGGAATATAATTTAAACACATGGCCAGCAAGTTGCCGGCATTTGGGGGGGCCCAAGAGAGGCACAGCATGATGTAGGGGGGGCCATGGCCCCTTCTGCTCCCCCCCCCCGTGATGCCACTGCATTTGCCCTGGGCATTTGGGGCGGCTTTTTTTGCCGCCCCCTGGAAAATGCCGCCCAAGGCAAATGCCCTGTTTGCCTCGCAGCTAAAACGTCCCTGGTCCTAAGGAGACTTTGCAGAAAACAACCTGGGGTGTTTTCTTGCAATAACCAACAATGGGCTCTCCTAAATCACAGTCAAAGAGCAATGTGTGTGTAAAAATGTGGATTGAACAGTTACCCCCACACATGTTCTTCAACTTTTTTATTTTTTGTCTGGCTAAAAAAAGTTGCATCAAAGCACTCCACATGCAATACCTCAGGTTGTCTACGTTTCAAGTATGTACCCTTTCATGGCAATATATAAAACTGGGGTATATGATAAGCCCCAAGCTAAAGATAGGCCTGTCAGAAGAAATACTCTCAATTTCAACTCAAATTGCAAGTCATACAATTGTAACCGTACCTTCCCAAAATCCTGGCAAACCTATGCATGGGGGGCATGGGTGTCCTAAGGAGGCCTTGCAGAAAACAACCTGGAGTGTTTTCTTGCAATAGCCAACAACGGGCTCTTCTAAATCACAGTCAAAAAGCAATGTGTGTGTAAAAATGAGGATTGTACAGTTACCTCCACACACGTTCTTCAACTTTTTTATTTTTTGTCTGGCTAAAGATAGGCTTATCAGAAGAAATACTCTAAATTTCAACTCAAATTGCAAGTCATACAATTGTAACCGTACCTTCCCTAAATCCTGGCAAACCTATGCATGGGGGGCATGGGTGTCCTAAAGAGGCCTTGCAGAAAACAACCTGGGGTGTTTTCTTGCAAAAACCAACAACGGGCTCTCCTAAATCACAGTCAAAAAGCAATGTGTGTGTAAAAATGAGGATTGTACAGTTACCTCCACACATGTTCTTCAACTTTTTTATTTTTTGTCTGGCTAAAAAAAGTTGCATCAAAGCACTCCACATGCAATACCTCGGGGTGTCTACATTTCAAGTATGTACCCTTTCATGGCAATATATAAAACTGGGGTATGTGATAAGCCCCAAGCTAAAGATAGGCCTATCAGAAGAAATACTCTCAATTTCAACTCAAATTGCAACTCATACAATTGTAACTGTACCTTCCCAAAATCCTGGCAAACCTATGCATGGGGGGCATGGGTGTCCTAAGGAGGCCTTGCAGAAAACAACCTGGAGTGTTTTCTTGCAATAGCCAACAACGGGCTCTTCTAAATCACAGTCAAAAAGCAATGTGTGTGTAAAAATGAGGATTGTACAGTTACCTCCACACACGTTCTTCAACTTTTTTATTTTTTGTCTGGCTAAAGATAGGCTTATCAGAAGAAATACTCTAAATTTCAACTCAAATTGTAAGTCATACAATTGTAACCGTACCTTCCCTAAATCCTGGCAAACCTATGCATGGGGGGCATGGGTGTCCTAAAGAGGCCTTGCAGAAAACAACCTGGGGTGTTTTCTTGCAAAAACCAACAACGGGCTCTCCTAAATCACAGTCAAAAAGCAATGTGTGTGTAAAAATGAGGATTGTACAGATACCTCCACACACGTTCTTCAACTTTTTTATTTTTTGTCTGGCTAAAAAAAGTTGCATCAAAGCACTCCACATGCAATACCTCGGGGTGTCTACATTTCAAGTATGTACCCTTTCATGGCAATATATAAAACTGGGGTATGTGATAAGCCCCAAGCTAAAGATAGGCCTATCAGAAGAAATACTCTCAATTTCAACTCAAATTGCAACTCATACAATTGTAACTGTACCTTCCCAAAATCCTGGCAAACCTATGCATGAGGGGCATGGGTGTCCTAAGGAGGCCTTGCAGAAAACAAACTGGTGTGTTTTCTTGCAATAGCGAATAACGGGCTCTCCTAAATCACAGTCAAAAAGCATTTTTTGACTAAAATGATTGCATTTAAGGCATCAAAACACTCCATATACAATACTGCGGGGTGTCAACTTTTCAAATATATGCACGCTCATGGCAAGAAAATACATTGGGATATCTGATAAGGCCCCCAAAAGGAAGATAGGCAAACAAGATATGTAAAATTAGAAAAACGCATATCAGACATTTTGCTTTGCACCCCCAGTGAACCCGACACACCTATGCATGGGTGGTATCGCTGTACTTGGGAGATGTTGCCGAGCACATATTGGGGTGTCTTTTGGCAGTAACACCTAACAGGAGCTGAGAATCTATACCCAAAGTAGAATGTGTGAGTGAAAAATAACACCACAAAAAAAAAAATGACTACCCAAATGTTTGACAGAGACTGGTGGTAGAATTAGTGCATGTAAAGTGTTGAAATGCCACCATGTGAAATACCCTAGGGTGTCTACTTTTCAAAAACATACGGTTTGACGGGGGTGAATTACATTGGCCGGCTTCAAAAATGTTCCAACTGGGACATGGTTGCATGATGGCCAGATGTGGGTTTTTTTTCCATTTTTCATCATATTTTACTTTTTTTTTCTAGTAAATTATATGATATGATGGAAATAATGGTCTCTTTAGAATGAACATTTAATAGCGAAAAAAACGGTATATAATATGTATTGGTACAGTAAATGTGTAAGAGGCAAATTACATCTAAACACAACCATTGCAGGAATGTAAAAAGAGCCCTGGTCCTTAACAGTAATAAAATTGAGAAATGGCCTGGTCACTAAGGGGTTAAACTGCAATTGACTAAATACTTGCAAAAACATAACATACAGGGATATAATTTCTAATTAGTGGGGTAATAGCTGCTTGATCCAAGGAGACACCTGACTGCTATTTTGGGGTCAAGAAGGAATTTTTTCCTAGTTTGTTGCAAAATTGGAAGCGCTTCAGACTGGGTTTTTTGCCTTCTTTTGGATCAACAGCAAAAAACATATGTGAGGAAGGCTGAACATGATGGACAAAGTCTCTTTTCAGCTACGGTATGTAACTATGTAACTATGTAGTAAGTTAACTAGCATGCCATGTGATAATTTAGTTTGTTGGCACAACTCCAAAACAAACCGAAACATATCCAGACTGTGGCATTTTTTATTAGTGCATCCTTCCTCTCAAATTAAATGGCAGCATAGTTATTTATAACGCAAACATTCTAACTTCATAGAGTCATATTGTCACTATTTAATGATTACACAAGGAGTCACAATAGATATGGAGATGGAAAGAGTTGTGATTTTTTGGAGCGCTCTTTAAGGAAATTTTGAGTGCAACTTAGAGTTGGTATGATTCATATGCTGCTGCTGACACACTCAGAGTGTGATGCCCTCAAACACACATAACATACACAAAAAACTGAATAGATAAGAGTGGAGCAGTATATAAAGAAAGTGGCTGTTTAGGTGATGAGCCCAATATATAATGTGAATTGTGAGAAAATTAAGATAAGTTAAAATGATGCTTAATGATAAGTAGATGGCCTCAAGTTGGCAATTTCTCAGCACATATGAGAAAAAAATACATAAAAAACACATAATAGTGTTTTTTATCCTCCCTTATACACAAGTATGTCCCGTCTAGGCCCTTACGATCTGCTGAAGACTTACTCCCACCTCTGAGGCTCGCCTTCAAGATTTATCGAGGGCTGCACCGTTCCTGTGGAACTCGCTTCCCTCCTCTGTTAGATGCTCACCCAGTCTCCACTCCTTCAAAAAATCGTTAAAATCCCCTTTCTTCATAAAAGCGTATCAATTAAACTGCTAATAGCTCCTGACTGATTCCTCTTCTGCAACTGTCACTAGTCTAATACTATCCTTACCTTTTTGTGTCATTTTACCCCACTCCCTCTAGCATGTAAGCTCATTGAGCATGGGCCTCAACCCCTCTGTTCCTGTGTGTCCAACTTGTCTGGTTACAACTACATGTCTGTTCGTCCACCCACTGTAAAGCGCTGTGGAATTTGACAGCGCTCTATAAATATCATAATAATAATAATAGATAGAAAGGAATTATAGCAACATATACTAAAGATCCCTCAAAATATACTCAAAATATAGGGCTAAGCAAATCCAATTACAAAGTGCGTAAGCTCAATTGGCCACAAAGTGCAAAGTATTTATTAAAATAAAATGGAAATTTAAAACTTTAAAATCATCACACACTAAAATAACTGTCTCTTACAAGAAGAAATGGCGAGTTGGCACGGCATACGCCGCTACTCTCTACCCAGCTTTTCAAATGTTAGAGCAGGAGACACTGGCTTCGGTACGCTGTGCAAAAGAGGAAGTATATCAGTCTGGCTTCAAGTGGTGTGCAGTAGATAGCAGCTTGGTTTTCTGAGCAGCTGTAGTCTCGTCTCCTTAATGACGTTGACTCGTTTCTCCGGTCTGCCCGGCTTCCTCAGGAAATAGTGCTACACTATAAAATATATGTGTATCTAATCTCAGTTCTAAGGTAATTGCCATATACAAATTAAAATTAGCATCTGGACACAGGTAATATTTTTAAGCTTAATTGAAAATAATTACACTGTGACCCTATTTGGACTGCCTTACTAAGAAGTTGAACGCTCAACATAATCTCCATATTTTAGGCCATTTCATATTTTTGGACAAGCTTTTCAAATTATGCAATAATATTTGAAAGAAACCAGCGCTTATAAATGTAATAATTAGTAAACCTTTTGTAAAAACAAATAGAGATACAGCTGCTAAAACATTCTAATGACCCCTTCCAACGTCACACATAAAAAACAATACAAAATATATGAATGTAGCGCTTATTAAAGAAAAGAAATAGTGAATCACCTTTTTGAGCGATTTAAATGAAGATAATACGAATGTCTCAATTAGATATCTGTAAAAGACAATCTAACATAGTGTAGATCATACAATAAAATAATAGAGAACAAGTGGTTAATATTTAAACTCACAAACATGGAGCTATGAGCCCAACTCCATGTTAAAGCGACTCTGGATCCGTTTAGGCAATCCACCCCTATAAATGATGTCTTATCCTTTAGTTCTGAAAAACACAACAGGGGGACCACCAATGGTGCAGTATTGTTGTTGCATATAAATGTAAGAATATAAAATCCCAAAAATCAATACTCACAATGCTGGAGTCATAGACATATGACTCAATTTAACCCGCACTGTGCAGATTAAGGACTGCACTCCTTCTTTGTTGAGAAGTAAAAACTGGAACCAAATGGCGTAAAAATAAAAATAACAATTTTATTACATATACATATAAAATTCAAAATGCCTGTATCGGCTGTAAAGACCGGTACGGGTTTCGCCAACTATAATTGGCTTCCTCAGCCGGATAAAAATTATATGTATTCCCAAGTTCCCTTCATCGGTTTTAAATCTTCTCAAATCGGCGGGTAAGCGTTTGGTTCAAAATTACCGTCACACGCTAGTGGCGCCCACTAGCACAGCGTGTGCGGTTCATGCCTCTTTTTCGTTACGGTACCTGCAGGTACCGAGATGTTATCCTCCTAATTGTTTTCTCCATAGCGAATGAGAGTATCTTCTTTCCCTTTTGATTCCACAGTTTTCAAATTCACCTTATAGGGTTTCTTCTTCATTTGACAATAGTCCATATGATAAAAATAGGTAAAAAAGGAAGAAAAAGAAAAGCGCAGTATCAGTCCATAATACAAAATACCTTGTTTTAAATCGCAATAAAAAATAAAAATTCCGTATAGTAAAAACAGTAAAATGTACATTCTCATTTGTTTGCAGCAAAGGTTGCAGAATACAAGTCTTTTATAAGCTTGATACTATAAGATTACATACACATATTGTTGCAATCCTGTTGCAGAAAATACATTTGTAAATAATAATTGTACCCAGTTCCCTTTCACACTGTTTGTTGATGATCCATTTTGCTTTAGTTAAATTGAATTACTTTTCTCTCTCTTCTTTCCTAATTAACCCTTCTTTATATTATCAATTGTCTTATTTTATCCACACTCATTTTGTTTCTTTTTCGTGGAGAATAATAATATTGTTAAAAACATTATAAAAATGACATCAATCAAAATTGTAAAAAACATTGTAAAAATGCCATCAGTTAAAGTTATATGTTTTTAAAATGATATATCCCTTCTTGATGGGATAAAAAAGTGCAAATTGATAATAATTATTCTATATGATTAGTGTCACTATAAATGGAAACATCATAAAAAAATGACATAATTCAAAGTCGGAGTTGAGGCCATAAGGGATTAAAGTATTCAATTTATAGATCCATTCCATTTCCAGTTTTCCCAAATCCTTTATAAAATCCCCACCTCTCCAATTTTGTTTGCACCTTATCTATACCACAAAAAGTTAAACCCTTTGTTTGCTTTGTAAAGCTTTTCAAATTATTTAATAGTTTTGGATCAACTTCAACAATTATTAAATGTTTTGAAAAATATTTTGATATTTTTTATGATATATTTTTGATATTTTAATATTTTTGAAAAAAATTATTTTAAAAAATGTATCCAAAAATAGTAAAGGGACACTATAGTATTAGGAATGCAAAACTGTATTCCTAATGCTATAGAATCCCTCTGCAGTTAAATATAGGTATGCACCCCTCTCCCCCAAGCTCCAGTGGTGAAAAAGTTGAAAGCCCTTTTTTTCACTTACCTTATTTCATTGCTTAGGTTCCTCGATGCTGGTTCCATCTCCTCCTCTTCCGACATCAGTGCAATAGGGGAACTTAATGCGCATGTGTAGCGAGCTCTGTGTGCACATTAGGCCTACCCGTAGGAATACAATGAATCGATATTTTCCTAAAGGGATTTAGAATACGTTGGATATCTTTATGTCAATCGTCAAGATGTCCAGCTTAATTTCATAGTTAAACTCCATGAAAGGCTAGGGAGTGCTTCTAGTGGCTGTCTGGTAGGCAGCCAGTAGAGGCAATCTTAATCCTGCAATGTAAACATTACAGCTTTTCTGAATGAGAATCAAGTGGTCTGTGTTCTTAAATTGTCCCTTTTAGTCATTGAAAAGCTTATCTAAAATATTAAATTGAGGACCATATATGAAAGGAGAAATGTAATTTTTCTTGTCACCACTAGAGGACTCCCATACATTGCATCTCAGGGTAATTTACAAACAGAAAAAAATATTTAAAAGTATTAAAAATTAAAAAAAACTATATGTCTTAAAGGTTGCACGAGCAAGTGGTTGATGGTGCATTTTCATCAAAGTGTAATAGACAATATATATATAAGAATGTTACCATCTTTGCCATTATCTCTTTTTCTCTTTAGATCGTTCAGTAGAGGCACCTTCACCACAAACACGTCCCGCAAGGGAGATAGGCAATCAGGTAAGAATTCTTATTGTTAGTTCACTCAGCATAGACACCAGTAAAATCTTTTTTTGGGAGAGGGATGGGGAAAGGAAAGGGCGGGAAGCAGGGGGGAGAGATATATGTATGTGTGGGTAATATTACATTTTGTATGAAATGCCTTATCTTACTCCACCTTATCTACCTGCATTTTCCATCAAAGCCAAGTTGACACAACTTTTATCTATGTCTCTGTGCATTGATTGCCACCTTCATTTTACACGGTTTTACTGTTTTTTTGTTTTTAATTCTTTATTTTTCTAGTGCTTAAGTTTTTAACAGATGGTTGTGAGGTACCCCAAAGGCATTCCTCCAACACATTAGAAACATTTGAACATAGAGGTACATGAGAAAATCTAGCACAATTTTTATGTTTAAAGAGAGTTTGAGTGGTAAACAATAGAGAGTCTAACTGCTAATTCTGTCTCATAGCTGATAACATTGCTGGTATGTCTAGTTAGCTGATTTTAAGCATTTTAGAGTAACCTACGAGCTGAGTAATACAGGCTTAGTCTAGCTTTTATACAGGAGTTGTGATTGTGGGCATAGGTCGGCAACCAAACATTTTGAAAGAAAAGGAAATAAACGATAATGGTACAAATAAAAATGAGGAGGCAATACTAATGTGCACAGGTGCCTAACCCGCTATGCTGTGAGACTAGCGAGTCATGTAATGGGCTTGCATACAGAAAGCAAAATTAGTACACTGGCCCTGTTTATATGCAGTTCTGTTCCCGTCCTTTTCTAGTTTTAACCGCAAGAATTGTAAAAAATTAAGATAAAACTTAAAATGGGTGCTTGTAAAACTTTTGAGTCTGGTAAGGGTGCCCTTGGGACTACTTGCCAGGGGTGGGAGAGTCCTCTGCTTATCTGTAGGGTCAGCCAATTCCCCGTTGGAGCCAGACTAAATTCTGCCATAAGAGTCCCGGTGTCAGGCCCAGCGTCCTGCAGGAGTGGGGACAGGTAAGGTTGGAGTAGTGTTCCGGCAGGGTGTCCGAGATCTGTCCGAGCTGCGCTAGCTGCAGCAGAGGCATGCTTGGTTTGTGGTACATATAATTCGCACTGCTCCTTACTGGGTTGTGGGTCTGGTCTCCTGGTGTTGGGTCGCCGCTATCCAGTTGGCATGAAGACGGGCTGATGTGTGTCCGTGCGATTGTTCTTTTGTTCTGCAGGGACGTCGGTGTGCTCGTGTTGCCGCCCGGCTGATCTATGATCTCCCGCTGCTCCAACCCCCTGGGTGTTTTGATGCCGGGGGAGTCTGTGCTTCCTCCCGCTTGACCTGGTGTGGGTGAGCATGACTCTAATATTACACCAAATCGTACAGGTTTAAAATCCAAGAGTCGCTTCACACCAAACTTTTCGAGCTATAGGAATATCGAACTTTTTTTGGAAGCAGCCAAAATTGAAATCGAAAAAATCAACCTTAAATCTCTCCGCATCCATTCACGTGATAATCTCCTAAGACGGGAACAACGTGCTTTAAAAACTTTACAAGATGATATTGATATCATCATTAAACCCGCCGATAAGGGGGGAAATATCGTTGTGATGGATGTGGAAAAATATCTTGAAATGGCGGAACAAGTCCTAAAGGACACTGAGACATATATAGTCCTTAAGCAAGATCCCACTAATGCCTTTCTCTCTATGTACAAAGAGATCCTGGATGAGGGCCGCAGTGGGGGGTTGCTGTCGGGTGACGAGTTTGAATTTATTCTCACTCGTCACCCCAAGATAGCAACCTTCTACTGCCTGCCGAAGATCCACAAGAATCTAGAGACCCCCCCTGGGCGCCCCATAGTTTCTGGGGTCGATAACCTTACGCAAAATGGTAGTCTGTATATTGATAAAGTTTTAAGACCTTTTGTCGAAACTCTACCCTCATACATCAGGGATACTAAACAGGCACTTATTAAATTGGCTAACCTTAAATTCTCCTCCACCGCCCAACTATGCAGTCTGGATGTTGAATCCTTATATTCATCTATACCTCATGACAGAGGTCTAGATCATGTGAGTTTCTTTCTTACTCAAAAAGTCTCAAGTGATGACCCTTATACGATTTTTTTTCTACGCCTTCTTAAGTTCATTTTATCACACAACTATTTTTTGTTTAACAACCGGTTCTACCACCAGGTGAGGGGTACTGCCATGGGGACGGCTTGTGCCCCCTCATATGCAAACCTCCACCTGGGGTGGTGGGAAGAACAGGTGCGCCACTCAGACAAGTTAAGTGGACACCTATCTAAGGTCCTGTGGTGGGGTCGATATATCGACGATATCCTGATCGTCTGGCAAGGTACCCCTGGTGAATTTCAGGATATGGTGACACTCCTTAATCAAAATGATGAAAACCTCCGATTCACATCTGAATTCGGAGGACGTTCTATAAATTTTCTTGATGTCACCATTAGTATCAGTGAAGATGGTACATTCCATTCTACGCTGTTTCGTAAACCTACAGCAACTAATTCCCTTCTACACTGGACTAGCCATCATCCGCGTCCCCTCAAAGAGGGTATACCGGTAGGCCAATATCTTCGCCTCCGGAGAAACTGTAGTGACACCCAGGATTTTATAATCAAGGCGAAACAACTTCGGCAACATTTTAAGGAGAAAGGTTACCCGAATCGTTGTTTAAAAAGGGCCTACAAAAGAGCACTCCAGACTGAGAGGAGTGAGTTATTGTGTGATCGTCCAAAAATGGACACTAATCAGGACGTTGGAAATATTCGCATGATAGCAACATTTGATGTGGGATGGCCAGAAGTTCGGAAATCACTTGAACGTTTCTGGCCCATCCTGCTCAATGATGTGCATCTCAAAGATACTCTAAGCCCACATGTTAACATTACATCCAGACGTGGACGGAACATTCGTGATTTACTGGTTCCTAGCCATTTCTCCATGAAACCACAACAACGCGCCACTTGGCTTGGTACCCCCCCAATTGGTACATATGGGTGCGGTAGATGCGTAGCCTGTAAATTTATCCTTAGGGACTCTAAGACTATTAAGGACAGTCAGGGACGTGATTCCTTCCAAGTCAAAAGCTTCTTCAATTGTAATACGAAGGGCCTTGTATATTTATTATCTTGCACATGTGGACAGAAATATGTGGGAAAAACCTTTAGGGCCTTTAAGGATAGGATTATGGAGCATGTGAGATCTCCTAGAAATCGCCTCGAGACACCCATATCGAGACACCTTAAAGAACATCACCAGGGGAATTCCAATAATCTTAGGTTTTGTGGTTTAGAGTTGGTTAAAAGGACTTTGAGACGTGGAGATTATGATAAAATATTAAGACAGAGAGAGTCAAGATGGATATACGAACTCAAGACACTCCAACCTCTAGGTCTTAATGAGGGCTTTTCTTTTGCCCCTTTCATATAATCCGCTTCTCAGAGGAAGCCTTTTTGAACAATGTACTGTATATATATTTATACACATGTATGTATTTTTCTATGTATACATATATACTTATATACACTTCCCTGCACCAATCTAATATAGTTATAGACTATGTGAATGACTATAGATTGATAGGGATTCTGTCGTCTGTATTCTAGTATGTAATCATTGGACAATGAATACAATTATGTATATATCTTTTTCTTTCAGCCTATTACTATTACTTTATTTTATTCTACTTTATTTATTAGTTATTAGTGTTTATAATACCACTCTTTTGTCTCTTTACAATGTATGCTTGTGATTAACTCTAAATATGATGGGAACTTAATATCTTTCTTCTGTTATTCTTTTTCGTTTGATGATTCATTTATATATGTTTTTTGAACTTTCTACCCCTTTTACTCCACTCTTCTGAACGCTACTAATGTAGCACTCCGTTCTTTAGGACTTGTTATTTATACCGGCATATGTATAACACTGTGTACGCTAAGTTTACTATGTACACATTCGCGCATGCGCACGGACTGACCCTGTAATCGGGTTTTATGTTATGCGCATGCGCGGCTCTATGACATGCGCGGTTCTTCTTGATACTTAGCCTGACACTAAGTCGGCGCGCCTGCGCGTGGACAGGTATGCGCACGGACTTGTGATACGAGCGGCTATCCCTGTCCCTCCTCCTCTGAGATGGAGCCGACATATGGACGAATCAGATGAACTGGGAGGTACTATCAACGTTTAAATGGAGTAAGGGGGGATTGTTCTGTTTGCCTCATTTTACTTTGTGCCCTTGAGAAAGGTGGTTAATCCACCGAAACGCGCGTTGGGCTATGGGCTATTTTATATAGCTAATCAAGTTTATTTTGTTTTTTCTTTGTACCTTACAGTATGGTTTAGTGGTACTGAGCGTTTTTGCAGCTCTGGTTTTCTTATTTAGTGATAGGTGGGCTGTTTATCGGGATTAGGCACTCAGACCTAGTTTTCCTGTATGTAGATCTATAATCAGGTCTTTCTGCTTTATTTTTCTCCTTTTATTTATGCCCTCTTCTATCCTTTCGATTTCCATTCAAAACTTAACCCTGTAGGTACAGCAGCAGAGTCTTTGGCTACTATTGTGGCTTACACTGTTTCACTTCATAATGATTTTGCCACATTCTGATATGGTTAGCCATACTCTGCAGCGATTAGTTTTTTAAGTGCAGAATTTTTGGTTTTTCATATCTACTATTGTATCTACTCTTTATTATTTTTTTTGCACAGGTACTTATTATAGTATTATATCTATGTTTTAGCCATATTCTATATTCTGTATCGGGCTTGCATTGCACAGTCTATGGTTCTTATGTATTTATATATGTACTATACCTTACCTATAGGTATTTGACATACTATACTATATATACATATATATATCAGCCATACTCTGTATATATTGAGCTTTATTTATTTTATCTATAGATAGATGTGTTTTCCTTCTTTGATTTTAATAAGGTTTTTCCCAATAAAATTGTTTATTATTTTTGAGACGCTGTTTTGGGGTGGCTTGGAGGTGATCAGCCCGGTCTCTGTATGAGGCGATCAATCCTCCATCTCTGCTATTTCTCTTTCTGGGTGAGCATGTAGCCCGGTTTCTGGCACAGCCTCTGGGTCCGTCGGGAACAGAAGGGCCTCCAGCTTTTCCCAAAAGATTTGGAAGGCTCTGTCCAGCCGATTCTCGACCTCTGGCAGCGCAACATGAGTGCCGGGAAAACACGTTGCCTCCACCATTTTGGGTGCTGTGTCGTCGCTTGAGGGAGGCCTCTGTGTCACCACGGCAGTCCTACCGGGCTGTATCAGGGTCTCCCGAGGGTGGACCGGGATAACCCCCACCGGTCCAGAGGGGGGGGAACAGGGGTCTGGTCACCGCTTGTCGGCCGCAAGTGCCAGCGGGGGAGCGGCCGTCTCCCTCACGCCGACCACATGTATAGGCCTCACGGGGTGAACAGGTGCAGTAAGCCGGAATCGTAGCTTGTGTGGCATCATTGTGTGCCCCTGGGTTTCTCCTGTCATATGAAGGCCCTTTTGGACCGATCAGATCCCGTTTTGGCTAGTGAAATCCAATTATTTAGCACCGTTGAGCAGGAGCTTTGCAAGTATGCTTCCTCTGTTCTCAGCAGTCAGGCCCCGCCCCCACGGTTTTACTGTTTAAACATAACCACTAGGTGCCAATGTCATTAAAGACTCAAAGTGTAATTTACATATCAACATTTTTTGTTTTAAAATTGGGCATTGCATGTTGTCCAACAGGAAATTTATAATATTACATGCCATGTAATAGGAGACTCAGAGCATTGTGATATTGGATGATTCAGACAGTTAGATCATGCACCGTAGACCTTTCTGCAAGTCGATGACGCCCTTTCAGTATCACCTAAATGACAAAAGGAGTGTGCATATATTTAGGGTGCCTATTATAATTTTCTCATTACCCATCTAACTTTTTGTATGACATGAGCACGATTAGGCCATGCAGTGAGTAGCTCACATTGCTGAGGTATAAGATAATTTAGATGATTCAGCCATGCCAAATTTCACATGTCCTTCCAACACCACTGAATTGAAGATGACCAAGGAGCCTGCACCAGTTCAATAAACAAATTGATTTTAGCCCAAATCTCTCTGGCTTTTAATGCACAGCATGAACACAATATGTGATAAAACATCCTTTTTTGGGCAGACTGTTCCACATATTTATTGTTCTTATTTTGAAGAACCCTTTTTTTGCTGTAGGCAAAATTGCCTCTCTTTAAGTCTGTATGGACCACCTTCTGTCTATTGCATATTTCTGTTGATGAACAGGCTAGCTGTTTATACTGGCCCTAAATATGTTTATATATAGTATTATCATATTCCTTCTGAGACATCTTTTTTTTTCTAAAGCAAATTCAGTTTTGCTAGCCTTTCTTCATAACTATAATCTTCACTTACCTTTATTCATTTTGTAGCCTGCCTGTGCACCATTTTCAATTTTGATAATATCCTTCTTTAAAACTGGAGCCCAAAACTTCCTGCAACTTTCAGGCCTCACTTCACTCATACTGAATCTCCTTATTACTCCTCTTCCTGCAACTTTCAGGTACTGACTGAAGCTTTGATGATACTCTACCTCATCTATTCTATCCTTTTCACCATATTATTATTTGTTACCATAACAATGACCATTTATATCTGTAGTTTGCCATTGTAATTTTCTGTGCATGCAGTTTTTCACCAATATTTCATGTACACATAGTTAAATAATATTTGTGGTAACAGAATTTGGTTCGTAAACTTTTCAATTGTATACAACAAATGTTTGCTCTACCCACTCCCTCTCTCTCTCCATCATTTGCCCCTCCTGGCTGTAAATATCTTCATAAAACTGTATCGCAGTGTTTCCCAATTGGTGTTCCTAGGGTTCCGCGGAACACTAATTGGGGTCCGCCGAAAAATTTGAAAAAAAATGGCTGCGGGCGGCGAAGGAGCAGTGAGCTCTGATCTCTCTGCTCAGCTCCCTCGCGCGCACAGAAGGGATGCCGGAGCCGGAATATGTTGTCACTCCGGCATCACTAGGAGGCGCGCAAGGGAGCTGAGCAGAGAGATCAGAGCTCCCTCGCCGCCCGCCTCCACCGCTCACCTGTCTGTCCCTCGCCGTCCGCCAAGCTGCAGCCATCCCCACTGGACCACAGGAACTTCATGCAAGCAGCCCCAATGGACCCCAGGGACTCCATGCCAGCACTCCTAAAGGTAAAACAAAATAAAAAAATGTATGTGTGTCTGTTAGGGAGTTTGTATGTGTTTGTGTGTTTGTCATTGAGAGTGAATGTGTGCTTGTCAGTGAGTGTATGTGTTTGGCAGTGAGAATGTATCTGTTCTTGTCAATGAGAGTGTATATGTGTTTGTATGTGTGTCTGTAAAAGAGTGTGTGTTTGTCAGTGAGAGTGTATGTGTGCACGTCAAAGAGTGTGTGTGTCTGTCAAAGAGTGTGTGTGTCAGTGTGTGTATCTGTTTCAAGGTTTGTGTATGTGTCACTGTGTGCATCTAAGTGTGTGTGTGTGTGCCAGTATGTATCAGTGTGTTTGTATGTGCCTGTGTGTGTGTATCTGAGTGTGTCAGTGTGTATCTGTGGGTGCAGGTGTGTGTATGTCACTGTGTGTATCTGAGTGTGTGTGTGTATTTGTGAGTTAAGGTGTGTGTATCTGTGTGTCAGTGTGTTTCTGTGTGCCAGTGTGTGTGTATATCTGTGTGTCAGATACATATACAGACTGACACAGAGATACACACACTGGCGCATACAAACACAGATATACAAACCTTGACACACAGATACATACATACATACACAGATACACACAGTGTGTTAAGGTGTGTGTATCTGTGTGCCACTATCTGCCAGTGTGTGTATCTGTGTGTCAGATTCATACACACTGGCACATACAAACACAGATACACACACCTTGATACACAGACACATACAAACACAGATATACAGACTTTGAAACAGACGCACACACCTTGACACACAGATAGATAGATACATACATACATAAATACATACACACACACAGCTACACACTGTGTGTCAAGGTGTGTGTATCTGTATCAGTGTGTGTATCTGTGTGCCACTATCTGCCAGTGTGTATCTATGTGTCAGATTCATACACACTGGCACATACAAATACACACACCTTGATACACAGGCACATACAAAGACAGATACACAGACTTTGAAACAGAAGCACACACCTTGACACACAGATAGATACATACATACACACACACAGATGTGTGTCAAGGTGTGTGTATCTGTGTCAGTGTGTGAATCTGTGTGCCACTATCTGCCAGTGTGTATCTGTGTGTCAGATTCATGCACACTGGCACATACAAACACAAATGCACACACCTTGACACACAGATACACACACCTTGACACACAGATAGATACATACATACACACACACACACACACACAGTTACACACTGTGTGTCAAGGTGTGTGTATCTGTCAGTGTGTATCTGTGTGCCACTATCTGCTAGTGTGTGTATCTGTGTGTCAGATTTATACACACTGACACATACAAACACAAATACACACACCTCGACACACAGATACACACACCTTGACACACAGATAGATACATACACACACACACAGAGATACACACTGTGTGTCAAGGTGTATGTATCTGTCAGTGTGTGTATCTGTGTGCCACTATCTGCCAGTGTGTGTATCTGTGTGTCAGATTCATACACACTGGCACATCCAAACACAGATACACACACCTTGACACACTGTGTGTATTTGACTTTAACTTCGTTCTGACTTACCATATTTCTGGTATCCTTGACTTTTGGCTTTCCCTCATCGTTGTGTCCCATTCTGTGCCCCTGACCTCAGCAAGTATCCTGACTATTCTTTAGTACATTAAGTCCAGCCATTCTAAGGCCCGGTAACACGTTACCTTTTAGTCCTAGGTGTGATACAATTGTGTGTGCTGGATCAATTAGTAATCCTGACAATAGGTCTATAATTTGTACTTGATATTGTGAACCTTTTTAAATATAAGCACTACATCTGCCCTTCTCTAGTCCTCTGGTACAATTCCTGAAAGGCAAGAATTACAGCTGTTTGACTATTTCCACACTAAACTCCTTAAGTAAATATCAGGTGATTACCATCTGGTCCTGCAGCTTTGTTTATATTAACTTTATTTAACTTAGTGACTCTGTTTCAGTTTGCTTGCTTTGTGCTTAACCCTTTCCCAACATTAGGAGACACCTTTAAGCTCATCTTGTGAATTTTCCTCACAACATAAAATATAAACATATAAATAAATAAAAAATATGTGTATGTTTTTGTATATATTTATATATATATATATATATATATGTATATATATATATTAAAAAAATAGCGTGAAGATAGCACTCCCAGGACTCGAAAAACTTAACTTTTAATGTCCACAGTTAAGAGATCGACGTTTCAGTTTGCAACCCAAACTTTCATCAGGATAACAATCTTATATACCCATCTCATATAGCCATTTCACCAAAGTACACTTACCCAATAAAGGAGAGGGTGCTAACTGTGACCGCCATTCCCAGAGCCTGCCCGGGTTACTGCTGGACCCCGATGACGTCATCATGACCAGCGTCGTGACGTCACTATGGGTCATTTCCATGGTAACCGGACGCCATGTCCGTAATGTCTATGCCAATTACAGGGAGCTCAGACTACAAGGCAACAAACGATCCAGCAAAGGGGCTTATTATTTGCTAACAACAAATCACAGATTTCTTAAATCCTGGACAATAAAGCCCTCAGCTGCGCCAGAATCTAATAATACCAAGGAATTAACCCTCTTATTGTCTCAAGTTAAGGCAATGTGAACTAGAAGTCGATGCTCCATATGAGCATTAATAGAGGACACAAAACAATCACCCAAGACCTGTCCCCCTCGTGGACTTAGGTGTGAGAATTTTCCGACTTATTAGGGCAGGGCTGCTCAACATGTAGATCCCCAGATGTTGCAGAACTACAACTCCCATGATTCTTTGTCATTCTAAATGCATTCTAAAGGCATGCAAAGCACCATGGGAGTTGTAGTTTTACAATATCTGGGGATCTACCTGTTGGGCAGCCCTGTATTAGGGCAATTAAGGCCTTCCCTTCTTCTGTATTGTCTCTCTGCTTCACTTATTCTTGTCACCCCTATTTGCATAGGTTCTGGTAAAGCAAGTGCCATAGAGTTAGGATTATTAAATACAGGTGCCTTACAAATATAATTTGTTCTAGGTCTATCTCAAGTATTCTGTCTGTATCTCATTCATTCGTCTATACGTGATATATATGTTATCATTTACTCAAGGTTCTCAAGAATATCTCTAGTAGCTATTTTGTCTAATACAGAATCAGAGAGACCATGAAGGAACACATCAACAAATGCCTAATTGTTCAATTTCTGATGCTAGAGACCAAAATTCTAGAGCATAATTTATCACGGTTCTGGTTCCTTGCTTAAGTCTGAGCAGAGACTTGGCTGCATTGGCCTTCCTACCTGGTGGATCAAAAGTATGTCTAAATGCTTCGATGAAAGCAATATAATTATATACCAGAGGGTTGTTACTCTCCCATCAGGGATTAGCCCATGTCAGAGCTCTATCTACTAAAAGCGTGATAATAAATCCTACCTTGGTTCTATCGGTAGGATAGGAATGTGGCTGAAACTCAAAGTGAATGCTTATTTGGTTTAAAAAACCCTGGCAAGCTTCTGGTGCTCCACCATAGCGCAGAGGTGATTTGACATGGGACAAGGCCCCTACAGTAGCTACCTCAAGTCCCCCATATTGAGAAGTAACGGAGGGAGTACTGCTTTCATCTGCTACAGGGTTAGACCTGTTAATTAAGGTTCATAAAGCACTAGCTATCTGGTCCATTCGATGATTCATTTCTTGGAAATGGTTGTTGTATGGGCCTACCAGAGTATTTACACCTGCCAGATCCATGACTCCCTGTTGTAATGTCAGGAACATTCGGGGATCCTATGCGCAGAATACAAATACTAGTAATTTATACCGAACCTTAGGATGGCTGGACTAACACTATACACACAAAGAATAGTCAATAGCGAGCCGAGATCAGGGGTACCAGAAATCAGGATCAACGATAATGCAATAGCCGAGGTAAGGGACACAGAAGGGGGAACAGTCAAACAAAGCCAAAGTCAGAATACAAGAATACCAATTTGAGATATGCGCTCTTGGGTCTATCAAGAACCACAACAGGGCAATGAGTCTCTCCTTGGTTTCTCTTTAAATACAGTATTCAATTTGGTAGTTAACCATGCCCCCCAAATGTTCATGTTCGAACATCTTGGCGGGCCATGGCGTTCTTAGCGCCAAGATGTCGGCGCTCATTAGCCGCGTCAAAAAAAGGAGGTGGGGTTACCGCGTCTGGCGTTAGAATCACTAGAGACAATCTGAGAATTGGTAGGAGAGTCCCCAATACTCTGTAATGTGATGCCAGCCTGTGATATGCCCCTGACTGATACACAAGGTAACCTGACAATCACGTAGACGAACGACGTTCGGGAGATATGAACTACCGACTGTGGGAGCATTCGCTCCCTAACAGCAAGGGGGAGCGTTCGTCGGTGTTCGCACAGGAACCCCCAAAAGCTGACTGGCCGCAACCCTCAATTCTCTGAACTATTTTGAGCCATTGCCTTGTGGACAGTCGGTCAGAACTTTACCTGAATGGCGATTCCATTCTACTGAATGAATCTGAGCGCTGTTTGGACAACTTTGGCGCTCAGATGCGGGCTATTTGGATATATAAGACTTGTGTGGTTCCTGTAAAATATTACTATGTTTTTGGGGTGTTTTTTGTATGTTCATGTATTTTCCTGTAACTGAGAGATAATTGGGTTACTCAGTTTTTGACTGAATTAACTCTCAAACAATGGGATGCCTGGGAGGGGCTTGTGTACTTTTGAATGCATAAAAGGCTGTTTTGGAGCTGAATGTGTGTCATCCAGTTACTGGGAAGGGATAGAGCTATTCACATTTCAGCGCCTTGTTCCTGAGTTCCTGTCGTCATCGATCCAGCGGAGAAAAGGTCCTCATCAGGACTAGGGCTCCGCTACAATGTGGAGAAGAGCTTTAAAAATTGCTCTTAGTTGCCAAGCAGGGTATTAGCTTCCTAATCCGTTGGGGTGTGATAAAGTCCACCCATGCAGGGGATATCAGCCAGAGTGTCTAGGGATGAATCCAAGGGGGCGGGCCTGCCACAAAAGTTGGTAAGTCCTCCCGAATTACATGTGAATGCATGTTAGTCCAGCCCACTGAGGGCAGACCCTACAAGGAGCAGTGTTTCAGTGCTCCCTGCAGTGTCCTAGTGCGCTGAATATAGCGCAATCACATTGAATGATGTACTTGCGCTATGCATGTTGGGGACAGTTTCTGGTATCCCCAAAATCAGGACACCAGGGAACTAAGTCGCAACTGTGGGCTAGGACTCAAAAATCTGGACTGTCCCACCAAAATCAGGACAGTTGGAAGGCCTGTATAAGAGACCTGACCATTTCAGTTTTTTACAGTCAGAACAGCTTGATGGATTTGATGTCTCATTTTGAGGCATTATAGCAGTGTGACAGTAAAAATTACCTCATAAATGCCGACCATTTGCAAAAGTAGAGAACATGGTATATTTTTAGCCTTATTGTACAGCTGTTGTTGCACTACTTTTTATCAAATTTTACGGCATCATTTTAATTTCACATTTTTTAATTACCAGCACATTGAAATTTAGCATTTTATTTTGTAAACTTGACATGTTACTGTTATATAAATCACTAATTATGATTCCCTTCGCATATCCTTGTCAAGCTTTTGTGAAAATACAAGGCTAACATAAAATAACCTGCCGACTTTTTAGTTTTCAAACAATTGCTCTATAAATGCGTACCCTTTTTTCACCATTTTTTTTGTTGTATAAATTTTTTTGGAAAACATTTTTTATGTACACATATTTTTGCTGTTTGTTTTTAAAATTACATGTATGTGACTATAATAATAAATTCTCTACTCAGTGTTCAGCAACATCTCCTTAGTACAACAATACATTTTATTTATACCTTTGTAAAGTATCAATTTACTAATCTCTGAGCCCTCTGCACTTTACAAGTGCAGCGTGAGATGGATTATTTTCCCTCTCACATGCTAAATCATTTTGTGACAAACAGTCATTTAAATCCCCCTGCAAACGCGATCCCTCTCTGCAGGTAGTAATAGAGCTGCATGGGCTTGCTGTGAGACACGATCAGGTTCTCTTCAGAACCCGGGTGTCTGCCAAATCCCCAGAGAAGTCAGAAATTATGTCACCAGGCCTGTGGCTGAACTCCAGTTACAGAAATATAAAAGGCTGTATGCAGTGCTCACTTTAGGCTACATACAATTCATCAGTCAGTCTGTGGCCACTAAATATGGCTTCAGCTGACAGAGGGAAGCCCCCGTTATCATTTGGTTAAATTCCTGCACACACCAAGTTCCAGCCACTTGGATTTAAAGTAGCTGATGTGCTTTATAGGTGAGAAGTATCTAATTAAAAAAGGCACTTTTCAAAAATGATTATTTCTATAAGAAATCTGCGCTTTATTTATTAAAAATTAGAACACTTCTTTGTCTTCAATCATTCAGCAAGGGAGGTTTACATTCTGCTTCTGTTTTCTCCCTAAAATTTTCTTCAGGGGAAAAAGGGGAGTGCTTGCAAAGGCTGCAGTTCTTATGAAATGCAGTCTTTGCAAGCTCTCTTAAGATATACCCTCAATGAATACATGCATTAAAATGCATACATGTATGCATTGGGTGTATAGCTAATAAAAATTTAGTCTCCCAAGCAACAGAGGACAGCCACTAGAGGTGTGTTTAGACCTGCAGTATAAACATTTAAGTCTCTCAATAATCTCAGACAGGGAGGTGAGATGGCAGCGCGGAGTCTGGAGCTGCGAGGGAGAAAAGGTAAGTAAACTAGCTTTTTTACTCCTTACAGGTGGGGGCCAGTGACCCAAACATCTACCAAAGCTCTATAACATTAGGAATACACATCTGTATTCCTAACGCTATAGTCTTCCTTTAAATAAATTAGTTTAATTGTGCATTATAGGATAAAACATTGTTAGCAAATATTGCCACTATTAAGCTAGAGCTCTGGATCCGTCCCTGGTCACTAAATGGTACACAGTTGAGACTAGTTATATACTGGGTCTTCAGGAAGGAAAAGTTCTGCTTTTAGTAGTGGTCATGGTCGTAGGAAACTGTATGTGCAACATTTCTTCATTTCTTGTGTGCTCGGGGCTAGTTACACCCCAGCACATTTGATTTTGACAGCCCAGAACTCCGGTTCCGGACTGCCAAATGTCAATTCTGTGTAAAATATGTGTCAGTCCCCAGCCCGCACAGCATGCTGGCAACAGACATATTGAGAATCCCCAAGTAGGCATGTGCCCTCCCTTCTTTTCTGCAGTCCTCCCTTTTCCCAGTCAACTCAATTTTTTTTTTACATTTCCCACTCTCTCTCTCCCTCCCCAGTCCCTCTCTCCCCTCCCTTTCCTTTGGTAAATGGTCCAATGAAAGGCTTCTCTATAAGAAGACTTTGACTGGACCTGGCGCGGTTGCCGTAGCATCATGAGGGGGCATGGAAAGCAGCGTCAGGAGCTTTACCCAGCGCTGAATTCCATGTAAGTAAAAAGTATAATTTTTTTTATAGTTCTATAGTTATGGGGGGACCTAAAGAATAATGCCCAACAGGGCAAAGGGTTTGAATAACCCTCTATAAAAAGGCCCCATCTTTCAGATATACAGGACAGAGAATGAAAGACTGATAGTCAAATGATGAAGGAACCTTCTTATAGAGTTTTGTTCTTTTTCCTGTCATATCACCAGTTAGTGGGTAGAGCTAATTTAATCATATATGCTGCCGTAGTTAGCCATGAGTAAGTGTTCCATATTATGTTAACATTTGTAAAATTCTTTTTAGAGGCCCATATATATTCAACATAGTTGGTTAAGCTAGTGTTTTTATATAGATCTTTGATTTTATTTTTTATTTATATTCAGCTTTGACTCTCTGTCTCCCCTCAGGGTGCCCAGACTCACGGAATGCGAAATGTTGGTATGTTCTGAAAGCTCTTTTGTGATTTATGATCACCTTTTTTTAGTACATATTAAAGCAAGGCAAGGACATTTCACAGTACTTGCTCAGTTCTGAATTTAATGCAGTAATTATTTGTTTAAATATATAGAAACTTGGTTTCTAGCATGTAAGCTTGAGTTAAAAAGGCAGCGGAAACACCCAAACCAGAGTCTCTCAATTCTGGTACAATAGAAAGTACATACAATAAGTAGAGGGTGTAGGGCCTTGATGAATTTCTTATGCTAGGTGTAGTCTCAGAGGTAGTGGAATATGTAAAAACAGAAGAATACAGAAGAATATAGTGTAGTACATCTTACATAAAGTAAGAACATAACAAATCAAATTGCACTTACAGTTTGCAGAGCAAAGGTAGCTCTGTCTAAATATACTGTGCTTGTGCAGAGGAGCTCCACCTAGACTCATGATGGTGTTCACCCCACCTTGGGGTCTCACAGGTTTGTTGGTAGGTTGGTAATTAATATATAAAAACAAGAATAAAAAAAGTATATAGTGCTCACTGTTGTACATAAAATAATAAAATTAGGAGAGGTATTTACAAATAGAGAGCAAAAATTATGTTTTGCTCAATCCACATCACGCAGGTAGAATTTTCCTCAGTAAAGGAATATGTGGTCCCAAGCTCCATGGAAGGTCAATGTGAAGTCTACAGAGGTTAGCAAATAGCTGCTTTATTTAATACACTAGTATATAAACTAATAAAAGCAATACAAAGTAGTAAAAATAACACTTTACGTGTTTCGCCACAGCAAAGAGGCTTTTTCAGAAGTCACTTTTATTGATTTTATTATTTATTTATTTTTTTTTAATTCTTTATTTTTGTCGTGCAAGAATTTACAACAGTGTCTGTGTAGCCACAACAGCTGTAACAGACGCAGTCAAATATAACATAGTAAAACATTTTCGTGGCATAAGTTAACTCAGCACGTTTTTGTAATTTAATGAACAGGAAAGACAACCTTAAGCAGTGTACGGTTCAACACAGGTATGGGCAAAAGCGTTTAAGTAGCTGGGTCACATGTTGGTTTACGCCTTTATGTGAGGTATACAGTATTGTATTCCAGCAGTGTTTGTGGGTGTTGTGGTATATGTGTCGCTTGGGGCCTATCTGCTAAGCAGCAGCTTGATTACTTTAGCTGGTTTAGTGCTGCAAAATGTTTAGTATTGGCCTAAGTCAGGGCTGATCCTGTGTGAGTAATTAAGCATTAATCAGGAGCAATCGTTAGCTGAGGTATAGTGTAGGACAGAAACATAGCCGATCTTATGGTGCTCCAGCAATATTTGTGAGTCCAGGAGCATATATTTCGCTTGGGCCCACCAGTTAAACAGCAGTTTACAGACATGGCGCAAAGCCAAGCGTACTAGAAGAAGTACATTAGTTGCTTAAATTCGGACTAATCTTAGCTTGTGTACTCATATTATACAATTGCTGAACTCTGACTTTAGTCCCCCCCGTGCTCCCCTGGGTGAGCAGTCCAGAAAACAAAATAGAAAGCAAAAGAAGTAAATTATATGTTCCAGTATACATTCGTGAGAGTTCAATTGGGGCACAGAGAGCTGTGTGACAGATGGTATTATGCCCAGATTTGAGTCTTAGTCCCTTTGGGGGTCAGCCGATGCCTTGTTGGGGCTGTGTATGTACCTTCTGCGGTAATCGGTGCAGCTGGTGCGCTCTCCTCGGTGTGAAGGAGCTGATGTCCCCTAGGCTATGCAGTGTTGCTGTGGGCGCTGAGTGTAGCTCCAGCCAAGCTGTGCGTCGGGGAAGGTTTGCCTGTCTTGGGCTGGGGTAGCTCTGTATGTACCTTCCTGACGCGGTCACCTCCCCTGGTCCTGCTCCCCTCTGCTTCACTTGCCGTATCTGGGGAGGTCTTGTGCTCAGTTTCGCCTGTCCCCTCCGTTTCACTGCCTTGCATGGGGGGTGCGAGTACTTGCCCCTCTGCCGCCGTCCAGCTTTCGTTTTTTTGGGCCTTGTGACTGGCCTCTGCCCCTGCTGGTTCGGGTTAGCGTCACCCTTGTGATACAGCTGTTGTTGGGGCTGCGCTGCTGTTTGTCCCCGTCTGGCCTCCTGTGAGGTGCGCTGTGGCGAGGTCTCGAGTGGGGCTCTCATGCGGGCTTCCAGGGACTCCCAGAAAATAGCGAAGATGCTGTTCAGCTGCATCTCCGTTTCCCGCCATGCGTCGGAGGTTTCCGCCATATTGAACACCGCTGGGTCTGTTAGTTTTGGGCTCCACGGAGCCGATTCTGGCCCATTGCTTTGCCAGTGAGTCAGTTGGGGGTAGACCGGGATAACCCCCACCGGTCCAGAGGGGGGGGAACGAGGGCTTGCAGCCAGATTCCGGGCATGGCATTGCAGCTGGGGAGCGGCCGTCTCCCCTGCGCCCGCCATGCTTGTAGGCCTCATTGTGAGTTGTGCTCGGTTCGTCGCTGGAGAGGTATCGTTTTCTTCCCCTCGGTGTCTACTCTCGAGTGGTAGCTTTAAATTCACAATTAAATGCCTGTGTAACGGTGAAATTTAGCATTAAGTGCCGAGTTTAGCAGGAGCTGCTGTGGTGAGCTTCCTCACAGCTCTACAGCCAGGCCCCGCCCCCCGATTTTATTATTTTATGCACTAGTGTAAGTGCAATTCTAGTTGTTATGTTCTTACTTTACGTAAGATATACTATACTATATTTTGCTGTATCCTGTCTGCGGCTTTTGACACTGTTGATCATCAACAGCTTCTTCTCATCCTCCGCAATATCGGTCTACAAGATATTGCTCTCTCCTGGTGCTCCTCCTACCTCTCCCAGCGCTCATTCAGTGTTTCTTTCTCTGGCTCTGCTTCTTCTCCCCAACTCCTCTCTGTTGGTGTCCCCCCAGGTTCAGTCCTTGGTCCCCTACTGTTCTCCATCTATACTGCCTCCCTTGGTAAACTCATTGGCTCCTTTGGCTTCCAATATCATTTCTATGCAGATGACACGCAAATCTACCTGTCCTCTCCTGATCTCTCCCCGTCCCTCTTGACTAGTGTATCTGACTGCCTCTCTGCTATTTCTAACTGGATGGCTGTCCACTTCCTTAAACTAAACTTGACCAAAACTGAAATTCTGGTCTTTCCTCCCTCAAGTGTTGTTACTCCTGTGTCTGTCTCCCTCCAAGTCAACGGTGCTACCATCTGCTCCACCACGCAGGCTCGCTGCCTAGGTATTCTCTTTGACTCCGACCTCTCCTTCAAGCCTCATGTTCAATCTATCGCCAAATCCTGTCATTTCCATCTCAAAAACATTGCGTGCATCCGCCCCTACTTAATGCCAGATGCGACTAAGGTGTTGGTCCATTCCACTGTCCTTTCTCGCCTTGACTACTGTAATCAGCTTCTCAGTGGTCTTACGTGCTCCCAACTTGCGCCGTTACAGTCCATAATGAATGCGGCGGTGAGGCTCATCTTCCTGTCCGCCCGCACCTCCCATGCCTCACCCTTATGTCAGTCCCTACATTGGCTTCCTATAAAATATAGAGCTCAATTTAAAATTCTGGTTCTTGCTTTCAAATCTCTACATAATGCTGCTCCCACCTATCTATCCTCCCATATACACAAGTATGTCCCGTCTAGGCCCTTACGATCTGCTGAAGACTCACGTCTATCTTCTGTCCTTACTCCCACCTCTGATGCTCGCCTTCAAGATTTCTCGAGGGCTGCACCGTTCCTGTGGAACTCGCTTCCCTCCTCCGTTAGATGCTCACCCAGTCTCCACTCCTTCAAAATCGTTAAAAACCCACTTCTTCATAAAAGCGTATCAATTAAACTGTTAATAGCTCCTGACTGATTCCTCTTCTGCAACTGTCACTAGTCTAATACTATCCTTACCTTTTTGTGTCATTTTACCCCACTCCCTCTAGCATGTAAGCTCATTGAGCAGGGCCCTAAACCCCTCCGTTCCTGTGTGTCCAACTTGTCTGGTTACAACTACATGTCTGTTCGTCCAGCCATTGTAAAGCGCTGTGGAATTTGATGGCGCTATATAAATATCATAATAATAATAATAATAATATTTTTCTGTTTTTACATATCCCACTACTTCTGAGACTACAACTATCTCAGGAAATTCATCAAGGCGCTACACCCTCTACTTATTTTAAGCAATCAATTGTTTGATTTGTGGTTACAATACATGAACTTTCCTTAATGAGTTAAAGACCTAAGCTAAGCCTAGACTGAGACTTGAATATTGGCATATTAATTTAACATTTAATCTCTCTGGTAGAATAAGTTATTTCTATATTTTTAACATCTCCCCTGGATGGAAAGGGTCAGTCTTGCATCTTCTCTTACAGCCCAGAGGCCTGCCAAATCGTTAACATCAGGTAAATATGCTCAACCCCATTCTGCTGCAGACCGTAGGATGTCTCTCCCTAGTTCTGCTCTTCGCACACTACCAGAACATGCCAGCGATCGACACAGAGGGTTAGATGGTAAACATAAACAATATAAACATTTTGTGTTTTTAATGCCTATTGCTCAATACCTTCTGTGTGACCTTCATTTCAGGAGGACAAGGTTTCATCATTCCATATCTGAAGAAATATAGAGAATAGCCAATGAATCCTCCCTCCGCTGTTAAATAGTACATAACTAGTGAATCTGAGAGTGAATTGCATATATTTTACTCCAGTGCTCCTTGATCCAAACTATGGCAGTCCAGGTTTTACCAGGAAATCTGGAACAAATCTGGGTAATTGCTATATTCTGGATATCTTCTGGTCCTTGGAACCTGGTTTGACAAATACTGCTCTCTTTTCCATACCAGCGGTTGCAACACATAACCTGTACAGCACAGCAGACATCATAACCCAAGAAATATTGTGCTGCAGATGCCAATAAATATGCAAAACAACAGCACACTCTTCTGCTTTCAACCAGAAAATCCACTGAAACAGCCACCAGTTAACAGTCATGTTGTGGATGTGTGTGCAGGTGACAGGTTTTTTTCATTTATGAGTGTAGGCTACTTGTGGTGTTGCATATTTCTGGGAATGCTGATTGTGGGATTGTGTGTATTCATGGGCCTTTTTGCGGTGTAACATTTGTGTGCATGTACATGAGAGCTGTAGGTGGATAGGGGCTGTTTTATGTGTGTTTTGGGGGGATAGGGACTTGTAACGAGAATATACCCCAACACGCAGGATTCAGCTAAACAAAAGACAACACAGAGGAGAGATACGTCTACCGGACCTTAGAATGGCCGGACTCGACGTATATGAGAGGAGACAGAGTCAGGAACAATCCGAAATCAAGGGCACAGAGAGACAGCGTAAACTAGGACAAGCCGGGGTCTGGTACACAGTAAACAACAAGCCGACAACCAGAACAGATAAGGATAAAGAGAAAACGTAGTCAGAAACAAAGCCAAGGTCAATACGGAGAAACACAACTGAACACAACAAGCGCTAAAGGGAACTGATACAGAAACCACGATAGGGCAAGGAACAAAGGGAAGAAGGTGAGTATAAATACCTAAACATCTAATTTGATTGGTCCCTGTCACATCCACGCCCCCAAAAGGTAAGTGTATGGGGAGTGTGGCATGACAGGGACCAATGGGATGCCTTTTCCAATTTAGGCACCCACTGTCCCTTTAAGAGCGCGCCCGATACCCGCGGCGCGCTCTTAGAGTAGGTGGAACACGTGACCGCTACTAGTCACAGCGGTCGGCTGAGCCGCGCGCGGCTCGTGCAGCAGCAGGACCGCGCGCGGCTCGAACAGAGGACCCCGGCCGGCCCCTGGAAAGGGTAAGTACCGCTACATTACCCCCCCCTGAGGACACGCCCTCCGGGCGGGGAGGGCCAGGCCTGGCAGGAAAACAAGAATGGAAAGAGCGCACAAGACGAGGAGCGTGAACCGCGTCAGCGGAAATCCAACTATGCTCCTCAGGCCCATAGCCCTTCCAATGCACTAGGTACTGAAGTCGGCCCCTAAGGAAACGAGAGTCAAGAACTGCAGAAACTTCAAATTCCTCATGACCCTCCACAGAAACAGGAGGGGGAGGAGGTGCATGTCGGGTGTAGCGGTTGCGTACGAAAGGCTTCAACAACGAGGTGTGAAAGACATTAGGAATACGCAGATTCTTAGGGAGACCCAAGGCATACGAAACAGGATTAACCTTATGCAGAATACGATAAGGACCAATAAAGCGGGGAGCCAATTTCATAGAAGGCACCCGGAGGCGAATGTTTCGCGTAGAAAGCAGAACCCTGTCCCCCACAACATAAGAAGGAGCCGCCCTGCGATGCTTGTCAGCCTGCACCTTCTGGCGAGCAGCGGAATCCACCAAAGAACGCTGAACCTGCTCCCAAGTATTACGCAAATTAGCCAAATGTTCATCCAGAACTGGCATGCCCTGTGAGGAGAAAGCAGCCGGAAGAACAACAGGATGTTGGCCATATACAACGTAAAAAGGACTCTTGCCGGAAGAATCATGAGTAGCGTTATTCCGAGCAAACTCAGCCCAAGGAAGAAGGTCAGACCAATTGTTCTGATGGTGGGATACGAAACAACGAAGGTACTGCTCCAGAGATTGATTGGCACGTTCGGCAGCTCCATTAGACTGGGGGTGGTAAGCGGAAGAAAATGAGAGAGAAATGCCCATTTCCGAACAAAAGGCTTTCCAGAACCTGGAAATAAATTGGCTACCCCTATCAGATACAATAGATACGGGAATGCCGTGTAATCGAAACACCTCTCTGGCGAAAACAAGTGCTAGTTCCCTGGACGTGGGCAGCTTGTGAAGAGACACAAAGTGAGCCATCTTGGAAAACCGATCCACTATCATTAGGATAACTGTGTTACCATTCGAGGGAGGTAATTCAACAATAAAATCCATGGACAGGTTAGACCAAGGTCTCTCGGGAATAGGTAACGGATGCAACAGCCCACAAGGAACCCTACGAGAAGATTTCATACAGGCACAAGTAGTACAAGCACCTATATAGTCAGTGACATCCTTGCGTAAGGAATCCCACCAAAAATACCGAGAAACCGCTGACACCGTTTTGGAAATACCAGGATGTCCAGCAGTCTTAGTGTCATGATACAACGACAGAATCTCCCGTCTCTCGGGAACATCAACGAACAGTTTATCAGTAGGTCTCTCGCTAGGTGCCATGTTTTGTTTCGCTTGTATGGCCTGCAAGAGGGACGAAGAAATAGACAAAACAGTGGTAGCGATTATCTTTCTGGGGGAATCACAGGAGTAACATCAATCTCCTGTTTGTCAGCAGTTTCGAACTGTCTGGACAGAGCGTCTGCTTTAGTGTTGCGGTCACCTGGCCTATAGGTGATAATGTAATTGAAATGGGACAAAAATAGTGACCACCTAGCCTGCCGAGAAGACAATCTTTTAGCCTCACTAAGGTAGGATAGGTTCTTGTGATCCGTAAATATGAGAATAGGATCTTTAGTTCCTTCTAACAAATGTCTCCATTCTTTCAGTGCTAAAATAATAGCAAGGAGTTCGCGATTACCCACATCATAATTCTTTTCTGCTTTGGACATTTGTTTGGAGAAGAAGCCACAAGGATGCAATGGCTTTTCAGGCGACTCTCTTTGGGATAAGACAGCACCTACCCCGATATCAGAAGCATCAACTTCAAGAATATAGGGCAGTGTGGGGATAGGGTGCTGTAAAATAGGTGCAGAAGCGAATGTAGTTTTAAGAAACTCAAAAGCCTGAAGTGCCTCGGGAGACCAGACACGAGTATTGCCTTCCTTTCTTGTCATACGGGTGATAGGCGCTACAATAGAGGAAAAACCTTTAATAAAGCGTCTATAATAATTAGAGAAACCAAGAAAACGCTGAATGGCTTTCAAACCTTGTGGAAGAGGCCATTCCATGACAGCAGAAAGCTTCTGGGGATCCATACGAAAACCTTTAGCGGAAATTAAATACCCCAAAAACTGGACTTCGGATTGGTCAAATAGACATTTTTCCAGTTTACAATAAAGACCATTAGCAAGAAGGGTCTTCAGAACTGTCGTAACATGCCTGTGATGAGTGTGTAAATCTGTAGAGTATATTAATATGTCGTCTAAGTACACAATTACAAATGTGTGAATAAAGTCTCTTAAAACGTCATTGATAAATTCTTGAAATACTGCTGGGGCATTGCATAGACCAAATGGCATAACAGTATACTCGTAATGGCCAGATCTAGTGTTGAATGCCGTTTTCCATTCGTGGTCTTTCTTAATACGTATTAAATTGTATGCACCTCTAAGATCCAATTTAGTGAATACAGTAGCATGTTTGAGTCTGTCAAATAATTCCGTGATTAAAGGTATAGGATATGCATTTTGATGGTGATTTTATTTAGACCTCTATAATCGATACACGGTCTTAAATCACCTTCTTTCTTTGATACAAAGAAGAACCCCGCTCCAGCCGGAGAAGAGGATCTCCTAATAAACCCCTTTTCTAATGATTCCTTAATATACTCCTCCATGACACGGTTTTCTTGAACAGATAAAGGGTACACCCTGCCCTTTGGAGGTATTGTGCCAGGCAATAAATCGATAGCACAATCGTAGGGTCTGTGAGGTGGTAATTTGTCAGCCTCCCTTTTATCGAAGACAGTTTTGAGAAATAAGTACTGAGGGGGTATAACAGTGGACAAAGGAGGAGTTGTAGGAACATTAATAGAATTCAAAGGGGTGACTTCAATAGTACAGGACTCATGGCAGGCATCGCTCCATGATTTTATTTGCCCTGACTCCCAATCGAAAATGGGATTGTGAGTACGTAACCATGGGTACCCTAACACAATGTGAGAAGAGGGAGATGTGATGACCTGGAATCGAATGGTTTCAAAGTGTAAAACCCCTGTATACATGTGTAATGGTACAGTTTCATGAGTAACAATTGGAGAACTTAATGGTCTACCATCTATGGCCTCAATGGCCAAGGGTATCTCCCTTTCTCTGACGGGAATGTTATTTTTCGTAACAAACTCAGAGTCAATAAAGTTCTCAGCAGCCCCAGAATCAACCAAGGCTAATATGCATTCTGCTATACAACTCACCCCCGTATGAAGGGAAACAGGGAGAAGCAAACGATTAGGAGGCAATTTAGGAGACTTAGAGATCACACCCAAGGCCAGTCCCCTATAAGGTCTTAGATGCGAGAGTTTTCCGGACGCAAAGGACATTCCCTTACCATATGGTCTCGCCTACCACAGTATAGGCAGAGTCCATTCCTTCTTCTAAGTAGTTTTTCAGTATCCGAGAGTTTGGCAACCCCTAATTGCATGGGTTCCTCCTCGGGTACTTTAACACTCTCAGGTTTATCAACTCTGGGGTTAATAGATGTGACCAGACATCTATTCTTGTTTTTGGTATAGAGCCTGTCGCGAATTCTATTATCTATATCAATGAGGTAGTCAATAAGATCCTCTAATGGAATAGGAAGCTCCCTTGCCGCTACCTCATCTAATATAGTGTCAGATAAACCTTCCATGAACGCAGTAGTTAACCCATTATTGGTCCAATCTACCTGTGAAGCAAGGGTACGAAACTGAATAGCATAATCCGCCACAGACCTAGACCCCTGTTTAATCCTCATTAATGCTCTTGCGGCATTCTTTGACCTCTTTGTTGTGTCAAAAGTTCTACGAAAAGCCGCAAGAAAACTATTGAAATCATGAACCATAGGTCCATTGGCCTCCCAAATAGGATTTGCCCACTCTAGTGCTTTGTCAGTAAGTTGATGCATCAAAAACCCCACTTTAGACCTATCAGTGGGAAAGGAATGAGGATACATCTCAAGGTGGAATTCTATTTGATTAATAAAACCTCTGCATGTCTTGGCTTCCCCTCCATACCTAGGAGGAGGTGTTAAATGGGGCAAAGCATTGGTTGAATTGGATACTTCGGGAGGATGAGGTGTAGGAGGGTTAGGTGCGGTTGCAGGAATGGTTCTAGACAAGAGCGTCTGGAGAGCCTGTGCTATCTGATCCATACGGTGATCCTGCTCTACAAACCTTGCCTCGTGAGAAGCCATTTGCTGAGCCAAATCTGCGGGGTCCATGGCCCTATCGTAATGTAACGAGAATATACCCCAACACGCAGGATTCAGCTAAACAAAAGACAACACAGAGGAGAGATACGTCTACCGGACCTTAGAATGGCCGGACTCGACGTATATGAGAGGAGACAGAGTCAGGAACAATCCGAAATCAAGGGCACAGAGAGACAGCGTAAACTAGGACAAGCCGGGGTCTGGTACACAGTAAACAACAAGCCGACAACCAGAACAGATAAGGATAAAGAGAAAACGTAGTCAGAAACAAAGCCAAGGTCAATACGGAGAAACACAACTGAACACAATAAGCGCTAAAGGGAACTGATACAGAAACCACGATAGGGCAAGGAACAAAGGGAAGAAGGTGAGTATAAATACCTAAACATCTAATTTGATTGGTCCCTGTCACATCCACGCCCCCAAAAGGTAAGTGTATGGGGAGTGTGGCATGACAGGGACCAATGGGATGCCTTTTCCAATTTAGGCACCCACTGTCCCTTTAAGAGCGCGCCCGATACCCGCGGCGCGCTCTTAGAGTAGGTGGAACACGTGACCGCTACTAGTCACAGCGGTCGGCTGAGCCGCGCGCGGCTCGTGCAGCAGCAGGACCGCGCGCGGCTCGAACAGAGGACCCCGGCCGGCCCCTGGAAAGGGTAAGTACCGCTACAGGACTTTAGTGAGTGTTTGGGGGGATACTGACTGTAGTATGTGTTTCAAGTACAAGACTATAGCGTTTTAATGGGGGAAATTGTGGCTGTAGTTTGTGTTTCAAAAGGATGTTGGGGCTGTAATGTGTGTTTCTGACTGATGTTGCGTGTGTTATTGAATTATGGTTCTGTTAATATGTGAGCGTTAAAGAAACACAATCTTGTTTAGCTAACTTCACACACGTTTGTACATTTTCACGGCTGATTTAGACAAACTTATCTTGTTTTTTTTTTTCTCTCTCTCCTTATTTTTCAGACATGTATGTGACCTTTGGGAGTAGTCAGGTAATAATAATAATATAATTTATTTGGGTTTTAATAATGTACAATAAAAATCCAATATCAGGGCATGATATTAGAGTTTGGTTACATTTGTAACATGTTCATTGTAAGAGAAACAATAAACTACTGAAATGGTTGTATGAAATTCTTTTTTTTTTATGTCATGAAATGGATCAATTATATAATGCAATACAGTTTCAGCAGATATTTGATTTTCTATGGTCTTGAGAATCATGACAAGTGATTTATTTGAGTTTACTGGAAAATCCAAATAGTCATTTGACTTCCACTGAAGCACAACCTGCGAGTTCAAAAACAATTTGACAATCAATAAATTGGTATATAGTGTCACATGTTAAAAAAAATGGACTGATCCTCAATCCCTGCTGACAATTAGGCTGTCTCATTCCGGCCACAAAAATGCATTGGGGTTTTTACATGATCATTTCTCTTATTTGAACATCTGCTATTGTTATATCCTCCTTGGACCCAGTGGTCTTTATATATCTTAAAATTTAACTATAGTCCAATATTTCATGTTTCTTTTTTTCACTCTTCTTTATCTACATGTAGGTAAAGCAGAGTGAAAGAATGAAACATGAAATATATGTTTCAGATGTCTTTCTACTTAATTACAAAAAGTGCAGTTACCCTAACATTTTCAGATACTTACTACTGTTATTTATGTCATTTGAGAAGTGCCTACGTAACCTTGCTTTATTATTCGATGCACTACAAAAATAAAGAATACATTAAAAAAAATGTATAGCATTTAGAAACAAATGGACCAAGACTTTGCACTGGAATACACGGTAACAGGCTGGCATCTATGTAATTCTTTCCCCTGCTTACAAATAACTAGCACACAAATAGATGCATAATCAAAAAGAAATTTGGGATGATAGGGCTCTAGTAAATTTAGATTATACATTATATTGGTCTATATTTTAGCACATCAAATTTTGTTAGGATATGCTATTGCATTTCATTAAAAGTCTTAAATTATATTTTCACCAAATAACTCATTTTATAAACGAATTATCTTTGTTGAATTCAGTGCTTCCTAAATTAATATTAGTAGTAATATTTACACAGCGCTTCCATATTCTGCGGCACTTTACATTAGAAGGGGTGAAAAGGGTCCTACTCAATGCACACCATCTAATTTATGAATTGTCTAATGGTGGCAATTATTGCTAAATATATTGGAAATTGCTTTTTGAGTCTGTTTAAGAGAAATTAATTGCTGGTAAATTAGCACTCAAACATTAGATAAAATATTAATTATAGAAAGACTGCAGAGAATTAAACATTTTATTTTATATTTTAGCTAGCACTGAATTTACTGTGTTATAAATGTGTAGAAAAATTATTGTGTTGGGCATTATTACAGCGGCTCTGTCACCAGATCATAAATATAATATATGATCTTTATGAAATACTCACATGTTTTGACTGTCTTTGAATTTACTTGATCCTCCATATTCCAAAATTTGCAATCCACAAGAAGTCTGCAGTGGGTTTGGAATTCAGTCCACCTTTTGCAGATTGCATGACTTGGTCTATGGAGGATTTATGTGTTCTTACATAGATATACTAAAAAAACAATAAATCTAAAGTTATAAAAAAAAAAAAATTTTTTAATGCTAACCTGACATAATTTTGTATATATTTTTCGGGATGCTATACCCAGGGCCGTTGGCACCTGGGGCCGGGGAGACATTTGGGTGACCTGGGGCCGGGGAGACATTTGGGTGACCTGCGGCCGCAGGGAGAACTTGGATGGCGGCCGCAGGGGGCGCAGGCTGTTCTGTCTCTGCTCCCCCCCGCGAGCTACTTAATTAGACCGGGGCCGGAATATGACGTCATATTCCGTCCCCGGTCTCATTAAGCAGCGCGCTCCCCCTGCGGCCGCTGTTCTATCAAATTCCCCTACCTCGTGAAAAAAACTTCCAGTGAGGAGAATCAGCTGGATCCTGTGCTGCACATCTGTGCTAGCACTCCTGCTACTCCTCCACAGCAAGGTCCTGGAAGGTAAGTAAAACTAGTTTTACACTTTCATTATAGTTAGTGCATTCACTAAGCTTAGGCACACGGGACATTTAGGGTTAAGTGAGGGTTCAAATTAGGGTTAGTAAGTGATTTTAACCTCTCTCACACTCTATTCTTACCCTAACCCTTGGGTTAAGGGTTAAAAGAAAGTGTGAAAAAGCACAATTTAGTGACATTCCCCTAATGTGAAATATCACTAAATATAAACAAGTCCCTAATCCTAACCCTAATTTGAACCCTAACATTAACCCTAAATGTCCCATGTCCAGTGGCGTACACATGACCCATGGGGCCCCGGTGCAAAAACTGATCCGTGGGCCCCCCCCCCCGCACGCTTACTCAGCGTGGGTCGGGGTCGCAACACATGGTGGCGGGCACCTGGTCGCAGGGGTTGCAGGGCTGCGACCCCGCGACCGTGGTATGCACACACACTTAAAGGACCACTACAGACACCCAGATCACATCAGCTCAATGAAGTGGTCTGGGTGCCAGGTCCCTCTAGTTTTAACCCTGCAGCTGAAAACATAGCCATTTCAGAGAAACGGCTATGTTTCACTGAGGGTTAATCCAGCCTCTGGTGGCTGTCTCATTGACAGCTGCTAGAGGAGCTTCCGCGATTCTCACTGTGAAAATCACAGTGCGAAGACACTGAACGTCCATAGGAAAGCATTGAGTAATGCTTTCCTGTGGGCGGTTTAAATGCGCGCGCGCCTCTTGCCGCGCATGTGCATTTCGGAGCTGAGTGGCAGACACTGGGGAGTCCGACGCTGGAGAAAGGTAAATGCTGAAGACACACACACACACTCTCACGAACAGACACATACACACTAGCTAACAGACACACACATTTACTGACAGAGACACACTCAGCGACAGACATACATACACTTTCACTGACAAACACACACTCACTAACAGACATCAAACACACTCAGTAACAGACACACACAGTAACACACTCACTAGCAGACACACACCCAATAACAGACACATTCACTGACACACACACTAACACAGGCACTAACACAAACAAACACTGACACACTAACACAAACAAACACTGACACACTAACACACACACATACACTAACACACACACTCTAACACACACACACATACACTAACACACACATACATTAACACACACATACACTAACACACACATACACTAACACACACACTAACACACACACATACACACTAACACTAACACACACACACACTAACACACACTAACAGTAACACTAACACACACACACATACACACACTAACACACACAAACACTAACACACACACACACACACTCACACACACTCACACACACATACACACACACTAACACACACACTAACACACACACATACTAACACACACATACACTTACTAACACACACACATACACACACACATACTAACACACACATACTAACACACACATACACTTACCCACACACACATACACACACTAACACACACATACACTTACACACACACACATATACACACTAACACACACATACACTAACACTAACACACACATACACACTCTAACACACACATACGCACTAACACACTAACACACACGCTAACACTCACACGCATAACACACACATACACACACTAACACTAACACACACTAACACACACACACAGTAACATACACTAACACTAACACACACACTAACATACACTAACACTAACACACACATACACACACTAACACACACATACACACACTAACACACACATACACTAACACACACACACATTTTTTTTTTCAAATTTAATCCCCCCAGCCTCCTTACCTTTTGGAGTGCTGGGGGGATTCCCTGGGGTCCAGTGGTGCTGCTGCTGGGCTCCTGGGCGGGCGGGCTGTCTCGGTGGCCGGCGCGCAAGGGATCACTCAATGCTTCCTCTTCAGCTCCCTCGCGCGCCGCATAGGGATGCCGGAGCCGGAAGATGAACTGAGTGCTCCCTCGCGCGCCCGCCTGCCGGACCGGCCACCTGCCTGCTGGGGTCAGCAGGGCCAGCCTCGGGGGGCCCTGGGGTGGTCGGCTCGTGGGCCCCCCAGGGGAAGAGGCTGGCCCTGGGCGTACATACCGGGTCGCAGGGGCGGCCGGGCCCCCTGGTGGGCCGGGCCCGGTCGCAGCCGCGACCCCTGCGACCCTGGTATGTACGCCACTGCCCATGTCCTAAGCTGTGCAGCACAGGATCCAGCTGATTCCCCTCACCGGAAGTGACGAGGGTAGGGGATTTTCACAGGTAGGGAAATTTGATAGAACACCGCTATCCAAGTTCTCCCTGCGGCCGCCAGCACACCTATCTGTCTGCCCACCGACAGGTAGCAAAAAGTATGTATGTCAGTCTGTCAGTGGGAGTGTGTGTATGTGTGTGTCTGTGTCATGCTGTGTGTGTCTGCAGGGCCGAACTGGGGATACGAAGCAGCCCTGGAAAAAAATATCTGCCATCCCCATAAGTCATTGTGTTATGTAGGGTGTTTTTTATATATATATATATATATATATATATATATATAGGCAATTGAAATAGTTGGCTGCACTCTCGGAGTTCCTTAAAACGTAACTTTTATTGAAATATTTAAGAGAAGATCTACGTTTCAGTCCTTCTTGTGGACTTTCATCAGGATCATGACGAAAGTCCACAAGAGGGACTGAAACATTGATCTTCTCTTAAATATTTCAATAAAAGTTATGTTTTAAGGAAATCTGAGAGTGCAGCCAACTATTTCAATTGCCTGGATACTGGAGCCCTAGTGATGCACCCGGTCACACAACTTTGAAGCCGGAGTGCAAGGTACAACAGCAAATATATATATATATATATATATATATATGTATGCATATATATTATTGATGCCACAAGAAAAGAAGAAAAAATGCAGGCAGGCTTAGGATATCCAAAAAATCCCAGTCTGTCTGCATTACCTGGAAGTACTGTCTAGCAATGTAGCGTGGAAGAATACTAGCTAACAAATACCCGGTCAAGACAATCTAGTAAGAGATATAAAATAAATATATCCTCAATACTAATATTCCTATGCTCTCCAAAATAGATGCACATAGGGTACAACAGAACCTGGCAATATGTCATATAAATAAAATAAACACTAATTCCTATAAAACAGCTTTAATGAAATACGTATACTAAATAGGAAAGGGTATTCATATATCACTCTGAATGCCAGTGTCTATCATCCTGAGTGCAAAAACCCACAAATATCCTGTAACCAAATATATTGTAAGATCAATGAAATAAAGGTCTGCTGAAAATATATACAGCCCCCCCCCCCCCAAAAAAAAAGGGTGTGTGTTAAATCAAACCATATGTGGAGAAAGATCTTGCAAGACAGCAGACCTTACACAGTGAGAATTACAGGAATTAAAAGTCCAGAATAATTCCTATGGAGAGAGACTCAGATGGAAGATAAAGAAAAGGAGTTTGTAGAAACAAATGGTCAGTCAAAAGTGAACTGCCATGTATATTTAAATTTATAAAGCCTCTCTCCCTGGTAAACTAACTAGACAGGCATTGGAATACACAGAAAATAAAGCAAAGAAAGAGTGTTAAGTGCAATTCATAGTGCTAGGGTGCCATTCAGTGCCCAGTGTAAATATTGGCAAACGCCCAACGCGCGTTTCGGTGCTTAGAGAGTGCACCTTCGTCAGGGGCCAGCTTACTACTCACAGTGGTGTCTCTTAAATACCTTAGGGCGCACCGGCTCCGGGGGCGCAAGATTTCAGTGACCGGCAGGAGGGAAGCTCTCCCTCCTGCCAGGCCACCTTCTGGATCCCTGGCGCGGCGTACGGCAGTGCTGTGATCAGACGCAGCGAGGGAGCTCGAACCTCTCTGCTCTGCTCCCTCGCGCGCTGTCTGCTGATGCCGCGGGAGCCGGAATATGACGTCATCAGTAGGCAGCCCGCGAGGGAGCAGAGCGTGGAGATTAGAGCTCCCTCGCCGCCTCTGATCACAGCACTGCCGCACGCCTCCCAGCAGCCCCACTGGACCCCAGGGAATGATTCATCATCCACACCAGCTCTCCAGGTAGGGAGGCTGGGTGGAAAATGTTTATTTATTAAAATAATTAGTGAGCGTGTGTATGTGTGTCTGTGTGTCTGTGAGTGACTGTCTGTGATTGAGTGTGTGTCTGTGTGTGACTGTGTGTGTGAGTGTATGTGTGTCTGTGTGTGAGTATATGTGTGTCTGTATGTGAGTGTATGTGTGTCTGTGTGTGAGTGTATGTGTGTCTGTGAGTGACTGTCTGTGAGTGTGTGTCTGTGTGTGACTGTGTGTGTGTTTGTGAGTGTATGTGTGTCTGTGTGTGTGTGTGTGTGTGAGTGTATGTGTGTCTGTGTGTGTGTATGTGTGTCTGTATGTGAGTGTATGTGTGTCTGTGTGTTAGTGTCTGTGTGTCTGTGTGTCTGTGAGTGACTGTCTGTGATTGAGTGTGTGTGTGTCTGTCTGTGTGTGTGTGTATGTGTGTGTCTGTGAGTGACTGTCTGTGATTGAGTGTGTGTGTGTCTGTCTGTGTGTGTCTGTGTGTGACTGTCTGTGATTGAGTGTGTGTGTGTCTGTCTGTGTGTGTGTGTGTGGCGAAACCGGCCTCGCCACGTGTCCTTGGAGGGGGCTGCTTGCCCGCCTCTTGCCTTTGGACTATGGACCAGACTTTATGTGAAGTTATTAACCCAGATAGCTATGCCATGGAGCCCATTCATGTAGTTAAAGACTTCGGCTCCATGGCAATTGAACTGTGTGAATAGGATCTGAGCGCTATTCGGTAGTTTTGTGCGCTCAGATCCTAGCTATCTGGGGATATGTGACATGTCTGTGTTTTATGTATAAAATGTGACTTTATGTATTTTAAAGTGTTTTGTGTCTTTTTGCAACCATGTGCTTAATGGAGTCTTGTGTCTGTCCTGGGAGATAATTGAATTACTCTCCAGGATAGAAGACTCTGAAACTGGTTTTGGCCAGAAAGCCATGCTTCATTTAGTCACAAAGGACTTTCCCTTAACTTTTGAACCCCTGGTCTGATTCGTGCCATTTTTTAATATGTTGTTCCCCTGAATGGTTTGATTATGAAAATGTAAGTTTTATGTATGTACGATGTTAACTCACAAAGTTATAAAAATGTACAAAAAGTAACTTTTCAGCTTGGAGATAATTGAGTAGATACAGTAATTGACTCAATTATCTCCTAAGCAGAGGGGAGGAATATGCTGGGTGTGTTTCTATTGTCCCATTGTGTCTGATTGGCTACTGTACTTGCATTGTATGTGTTGTAATGTGTTTATTGGTGGTTCTGCAAAACCCTGTGGGCAGTACTATGTTTTGTGGATTGTAATAAAAACCAGGCTGGGTGTGCCAGCACTGAGTTCCTGTTTTAACCCTCAAAGTGAAGTGTCGTCTCATTATTGGGGGAAGGATTTATTGTATGCTGTTCCAGTTTGACTGCTAGGAGAGTAAACCTATTCGTATGGTTCCTATTCAACTGTCTACAGCATTCATATGCTTGGGAGAATTTATTTGTTTCTCCGGTTCGGTGATTGTGGTGTCTGCCAGAGTGCTTGGAGTCCTCAGGAAGCGCTAGGAGCATCCTTCAACGGAGGTACCCAGTCTGGGTGCCAGGCGATCCGTTACAGTGTGTGTGTGTATGTGTGTCTGTGTGTGAGTGTATGTGTGCCTGAGTGTCTGTGTGCCTGTGAGTGACTGAGTGTGTGCATGAGTATGTGTGTCTGTGAGTGCTTGTATGAGTACTGCATGTGAGTGTATGAGTGTGGCAGTGTATGTGTGTCTGTCAGTGTGTGTTTGTGAGTGTCTGTCAAATCAGTGAGAGTATCTTTGTCATTGAGTCTGTGTGTGAGTATCAGTGTGTCTGTCAATGAATGAGTGTGTGTCAGATCAGTGAGTCTGTGTGTTTGTCATTGAGTGTGTGTGACTGTCAGTGTGTATACACCACTGAGTGTAGCATGGTGGAACGCTGTTTCCTGTACTCGGCCAGACTCACCGGAGGTGCTCACTGAGAGAGCACTCCCTGTCAGTCCGGCCAGGTACAGGAAATTGAAGCTCCTGTAGGGGATATCCTCCACACGGCAATGCTACAAGAGAGGTAGGAGGCACACCAGGAAGGGGAGTGCGACCACTAAGGTGGTGGGGGGTGCACCAAGGGACAGGGAGGGGAGGGGAGAGAAACACCAAGGGACAGGAAAAAGAGGGGAGAGCTTAGAAGAACACTAAGGGACAGGGAAGGGAGGGGACCACTAATGGATGGGGAGAGGGGCTGGTTAAGAGGCACATAGGTGAAGATGTTATTTGGGGGGGTGGAAAGATACATCTTCGCCTATGTACCCAAAAATCCTTGCACCGGCCCTGGCAGTACTTTTTGCACAAAAAGGGAAACATACAAAAAGGCCATATTACCCTACCATATGTTCACTTGAGCTCCAGCTCTAATGAATGGTGTGGACTTTAGCACAATCTTGGTTAAACGCTGAGATTCCCTCTTTGAAGATGTTGCTTAACATTAAGAACGACTATACAATGGATAAGTTTACTGCTCGTCACAAATAATCTCCCATGACTTCCATGGGAGGTTCTTCAATGACACTAGTGTCTCTATCCCTTGGTGGGTTTCAACTCTGACGCTCATACCCACTGCTATCTTCTTTATCTCCCTCTCTCTCGTTATGTGTTTTCTATTTCTGTTTACTGCTTTAGTTTTTTTACAGTTGAGGTTCATTACTGTATGTTCCTATTATGAAAAAATACTGGACTCCGATAAAATGTGTAACTGTGTATACTTCTATTGCTTACAAATGTTTTAAATTATATATTCTGCTATTTCACAGGATCCAGGTGTCGTGGGGAAACCTTGGTATGTTGGAGGTCTGGAGCGCAATGAAGCAGAGAAAGCACTGCGCAGAATGAACAAGGTTAGGAATCAATCACAATATGTGTAATCGTGTTTCGGACCTTGTACTGCTGTCCCTACTTTGTAGCCTGGTGTCCAGGTTTGGGCACTGTACCCAAAAAGGGGCGGGTGGCAGAGGAACACTATAGTGTTCTTGATACAGCTTTGTATTCCTAATATTATAGTGTTCCATTAAAGGTTCATATGAGCTTGTCATGAGAAATCCTGGGCTGTTACTTTCCAGTATATTATAGGATGGCAGTTATGGTGTTTCAGGCACCCTTTTAGTAAATATATTTAAGTGTAATTCTAATTTTCATTCATGTTTAGAATGGCTGTTTTCTTGTGCGCCTGAGCTCTGTGCATAACCATCTGCAGCCATATACCCTTGTTGTGCTGTACAATGAGCACATTTACAACATTCCCATACGAGCGCTTGGTGCCCGCGGATACTCACTAGGCAAGGAGGGGAAACAACACGAGGAGGTGAGTGGTGTTTGTGTGGAGAGAATTGGATAACATTTCACTCCAAGAACTGTCATAATAACTGTTTTATTATAATTTATTTTTTAATTGCCAAAATATTCGATGGCTCTGTTGCAAGCGGATTTAAATAGTCTACTCACACAATCTTCCAATCTTTTAGTATACAAGTTATTTATGTATGGGACTATGAGGCCTTTATATGAGGGGATAGTGATATAAGCAATAAAATATGCGAAAACAGATTTAAACACTTTTATCACTTCCTACACTATTTCTTCAATAACTCTTATTTTATTATTGCATTATACCTTGGGTGATACATTTCTCCATGCAAAACATCCGTTTCACATGGAAAATACACATATCATTAGGTGCAAAAAAAATGGAGTCTCCCGAGAGGGACCTGCAATTAAATTAACATAGGATGTGATCAATATGTTCCTCATATACGTGCAGAGAGGATCTTGTTCTCCTCTACCCCCTACTCAGTATATAATGGGTGGGGGTTTACAACTAAACAGTTAAGCAGCAATAGAAATGCTAAATTATAGAGAGGACTAGCCTGTGGTCCCTTGTTTTCCTGTCAGCTAAATCAGCAGGTGGGCAGCTGCCTACCAGTTTCTACTCTATCTCCTTAGCAGTGGGATGGGGTCTACAAATTTAGAGGAAAGTATGTTATTTATCATTGCTTAATCGCTCAGCAATGCTTAGGTGGTGGTGGAGTTAACAGCTTAATTGGAGGACAACTGCCCACAAGTTTATTCCCCAATCCACTTAGCGCTACTATATACGTACTATATAAAACAAATACGAGAAGGACAATTCATTTGTATTAGACCAGCAAATATTAATATTAAACTCCCACCTAGTGCACCCTTAGTGGGAAATGACAAGACAGCAAGTGATGTCTTCCCCTTTTTTGTAGTTTACCACTAAGCTACATTGATTAATATAACCCCTTCCTCTGGTCCATTGCTTTTTAATTCATAACTCCTTTCTCACATCTAAGACGATGGGTTTATTAGTGGGCAGATCAGGCTACTTAAATCCGCCCCCTTTAACCCTCACACGTCTGCATGTTTTGTGAGGGTAGAGGAGGGACCCATATTGCTGGGTCCCTCTGAATGATGGCCTTGATTTAATATTTTTTTATACATTTTTTTTTTAACAGGTTGTGATCATTTTTAAAGCTTATCTCAAAAGATTAAATCAAAGTCATTGCTGGCATCAGAGTAACACAATCAATTACATGCTAAAAATTAAATAAGTTGTAGAGAGTAGTTATTTCATATTTTTGCAAAGGTAATAGCATAGTAAAACAGACAAAATTTTATCACTTGGGGGCAGGATCTGACTGCAGAGCTGAGTGGAAGCAAACGCCAGCAGCTCCCACTGCATACAGCGAACAAAGCAGACGTTCACTGCCCAAACAGCAATAATTCGGTGTGTGAGGTCACCAAACGAAAGGTGACATCAAGCTGAGCGAGATGACACCACCCAAGCGACATTTGGTGCAATATTCACCCGACAAGAGTGTGAGGCCTACAAGCATGGCAAGCGCGGGAGAGACGGTCACTTTCCCGCTGCCGCGACAGACCAAGTATCAGCACATGGCCTCTGGACTAGTGGGGGTCATCCCGGTCTACCTCCACATAGAGAGCACTCACCACCAAATAGCTCCAGGGCGCAAATCTGAAAGAAGGGAGACGTGAGGCCTGACCAAGATGGCCGGCGGCTCCGCTACACGGACAGGGCGACTGACACCCATAGAATGGGCAGCAGCCTTCCAGAAAAGATTTGACGACATCTGCAGGCAAATTTGGGAACGCTTGGAGAATAGGCAACAGCCATTAGCACCAGCACCGGCCAGTAACATGGTCAGAACACCCAAAGCACGACTGCCAGTCAGAGCTCAGCTCACTGAAAGGCGCAAGACCGAAGTGCAGCTGGAGAGGCCCCATCTGGGCAAAACATTCACCGAAACCGCATACTATAATCCTGTTGGCCCACCTGGGAAAGGAGCCACACGGGGTGTGACCCCTACACACCACCCACGTCTGCGGAGGAGAGTAAAACACCCGCGAAAGCAACGGAGTGCAGCCCTGCGTAAGGACTGCGGCGAGTCTGTGAGATAGTGATACTGGCTCCTAGTAGGTCCCAGGTCATCTGGGCTGCGCTGTGTGACTGATGTGGACGCACGAGGTACAGAGGAGCAGCTGGTGTGGCTCAACTACGTCCATCCCAGGCATGTAACCAAAGCCTCCAGACTGGGCATCGGCTGAACTTGTGCGGACTGATTTGATACCCTACCCCTGGTTTTCGCCCGTGAGAACCCTCTTTCAATAACAGACGTCTTACCTACTTGCTAATTTAACGTATGTAGCCATATCAGTTTCCTTAATCCTATGATCAGTATGAACAGCCTGTTAAATTTCATGATATTGAACATGGGATGACTCCCATCATCCTGATCATCCTGAACAATCTTGCAGTCAGCTTGCATATCCCGCTTATCTCCCTGCTTATTGCAGTTACCCGCTGACAATGTACCTCATGTTTATATTACAAAAATGTGCATGCCCTAGCCATTACTCCCACTGTACTCAGTGGTGTATCCTGGTTTTGTGCTGCCCTAGGCAGGACAAAACTCAGGCGCCACCCTCCCCCCGCGCCACCCCCTCCCAACCCTTCCCCCCGCCCCACCTTCTAAATACACACACACACAGTCAGACACAAACACACACAGTCAGACAAACACACACACAGTCAGACACACACACACACAGTCAGACACATACACAGACACAACACAGTCAGACACAACACAGACACAAACAGTCAGACACAAACACACACAGTCAGACACAACACACACACAGTCAGACACACACACACACACAGACACAACACAGTCAGACACAGTCAGACACACACACAGTCAGACACAAACACAGTCAGACACACACACACACACACACACACAAACACAGTCAGACACAAACACACACAGTCACACACACACACAGTCAGACACAAACACACAGACAAACACACACAGTCAGACACATACACAGACACACACACACAGTCAGACACAAACACACACACAGTCACATACACACACACACACACACTCACAAACACACAAACACAGTCAGACACAAACACACACACACAGGCACAAACACACAGACAAACACACACACACACAGACACATACACAGACACACAAACACACACACACACAGTCAGACACAAACACACACACAGATACAAACACACACACACAGTCAGACACACACACACAGTCAGACACAAACACACAGTCAGACACAAACACAGTCAGACACACACACACACACTCACAAACAGAGTCAGACACAAACACACACAGTCACACACACACAGTCAGACACAAACACACAGACAAACACACACACAGTCAGACACATACACAGACACACACACAGTCAGACACAAACACACACACAGTCAGACACATACACACACACACACACACTCACAAACACACAAACACAGTCAGACACAAACACACACACAGAGTCAGGCACAAACACACAGTCAGACACACACACACACATTAACTTTTTTTTTTATTTAAATCCCCCCCCCCAACCTCCTTACCTTTGGGAGTGCTGGGGGGGGGGTCTCTCTCCCTGGTGGTCCGGTGGCTGCAGGTCAGGCGGGCGGCGCTGACAGGCGGGCGGCCGGCGAGGGTGCACTACCTATGAGCTGACTGCTCAGCTCCCTCGCGCGCCGGCTGCAGAGTGAGGCTGGGAGCCGGAAGATGACGTCATCTTCTGGCTCCCAGCCTCACTCTGCGGCCGGCGCGCGAGGGAGCTGAGCAGTCAGCTCAGGGGAAGAGCTCCCTCACCAGCCGCCCACCTGCCAGCGCCGCCCGCCCGCTCGGGATGTCAGTTAGCCGCAAGGCTAACTGGGCATTTGGGGGGGCGGCGTTTTTTGCCGCCCCCTGAAAAATGCCGCCCAAGGCAAATGCCTTGTTTGCCTCGCGGCTAATACGCCCCTGACTGTACTACGATACGTTATGCCTGAGGATTGCTTTTGGGGTAACTTGAGCCTATATGTACTAACTTATGCACAGCAAAAATACAAAATAAAAATATTTTAAAATGTTTTTTATCACTTATACTGTTTTATAGCATTTAGTGCAGTACTGCACACTTGAATACAAGTACAAGCCCTTAGTGGACAAGGCTATTTTTAGTTTTTTCTTCACCAGCCAACAGATGTTTCTCTTCTTCCTACTAAGTTTTAGCTCTTCTCTTGACTACTTTCCAATATATTAACTTTCATTGGTAATCTGATATTTTGTTTGAGTTTTTATTCTTATCTTTCATCTTCTCTTTCTTTTATTCCCAGCATTTCAATTTTAAAAATGTGTTTCTCTATTCATTATCCAGACATTCTCATCTGTTGTCCATCTGATTGAACATTACCAGAACGATTACTTGCACCTGATCAACCGACAAACTCATTGTCGAGAGTCTACCATCTTGCTATACCCAGCTCTTCAATGAGAAATGAATTCCTCTCCATGAAGCAAAATCCTTCTTATTATTATTTGTATATACTGTGTTTTGTGTTGGGCAAATACAACTTAGAAGTAGCAGTATTTACATTATAAAATTATTGGCACAAAAATTGTGCTTGCTGTAGATTATGATAGCAGAACATGTCCTAACAGTAATTACAGTACATGTGTTCTTCACTATGCTGATGAAGTATATGTATCCAGAAATAGAAGCATCATTCAGGAAGACTTTGGTGTGATGCATAATTTGACACACTAATTCCAGTAATCTCATCAGAAACACACAGAAGACATCCTGGAATTTAACTAGTTTGAATGCTTTATATCAGGGGTGACCTAAAGGTAGATCCCCAGATGTTTTAAAACTACAGCTTCCATGGTGTTTTGTCATTCTAGATGCTTTTTAAAAGCATGAAAAGCACCATGTAAGTTGCAGTTCTACGCATTCTGTGGATAATCCTTTTGGGCACCCTTGCTTTATATTGTGTTTGTATTGTATATTGTACAATATTTCTAGGAAAACGAAACACAGCCTTACTTGGTTAGCAATAGTTTTTTTTCCCATTTCCTTATTCAAGTGTCAGTTCTGCATGTTTTCAGTAAACCATGTGGTGGCAGTCTTTTCCTTCTATCATATTCGCACAACGAGGTGACTAGCTATGTCTTTGTTAAAGACTAGGCCTTAAATGTACTGGCAGCCATATTTGTTTTCTCGGGATCAGTTTAAATATGCACACTCATTGTAATAATTTACACTCGGAAAGGAAAAGGTGATAGTGACTGTAGCAGAGGTTTTTTCTTTGAGTGTTAACAGGAATGAACGTTTCATGAAAGTCATTATAATAATACAACCTGGAAGAATTAAACAAATTAAACATCCAAAGTACGTATTGTTCAGCTGAACTGTCATCTTAATTTATATTATTTAATATCTAGTTTCAATTGTAAATATAAATGATGCTTATTATTACTATATTATATTACACTACTAAAAACCTCCTGAAATAGACCATGGTAATAATCCCTTTTTCGGTACTGACTCCACTGACAAACAGGCTGGCATGTTTTTATATGCTTGGGTTCAGTCATCATAGGTAACGCATTAACAGTTTAATTTGTGCGTTGTTTTGCATTTGGTTAATTCAATTAACCTGGAATGTCATATGGAGCCAGGCAAAGGAATGCTCAGGTAGGGATTCCATGAGAATATCAGCACAGAATTCCTCGGCAGCAGTTTGATTCTCTGAACCCCTAAATGACGTTTACTAATAATTAAAATTAACTGCACCTAGGAATCTTTGCCTCTAGGGAAAATATTAAATAATCTAGCGCCACAGTTCCAGGTCCAATACTTCAGAATAGAGGGTAGGATTGCTGAGGATGAAGGAGAAATAAAGATTTGGGTGTGCACAAGTGAGATCAACTCTTGGAAAATAACATGACTCAAAATTGTGTGTTATTTTTTAATTATTTCTTTATTTAATTTGTTTACGACCAATGATGTACAAACTATGTTGTGGTGCACTAGGATCAAAAGAACTCTGAGACTGCTGATTTAGCATGATCAGGAAGACTGGGTTGTTATTTCTTCTCATTTGTAATTTGTGCCTGGGCCATGTCTGGGATAAACTGGGTTGTGATGTAATTTACTAAACCTTTAATATAAATGTAAATAAAAATAGAGCATCTAAAAAAAAAAAAAGAGACACTATAGACACCCAGACCACTTAAGCTCATTGAAGTGGTCTGGGTACAGTGTCCCTATTGCACTTTGTGCTGCAATGTAAAACATTGCAGTTTTAGAGAAACTGCAGTGTTTGTAAAGCAGCACTAAGACAGCCTCTAGTGTCGCTTCCGGAATGTTACCAGACTTTTGGTCCGCTAACTGATGTTGGATGTCCTCACACTCTGCATGAGGACATCCAGCATCAGCTATTTCACTACAAGAAAGCATTGATTCAATGCTTTCCTATAGGGAGGCCTAATGGGCGTGCGGTCCTCGCCACGCACGCGTTTTAGCAACTCCATGTCCAGTGACGTTGGAAGAGGCAGAGCCATGACCCAGCGCTGAGGGACCAGGGCTGGGATCAGGTAAGTAAATAAAGGATTTTTATCCCTTTAATCAAGATGGTGGGGGGAACGTGCCAGGGAGGGGGGAGGAAAAGGGAGCTATACTGCCAGGAATACAGCTTTGTATTCCTGCCACTATAGTATCCCTTTAACACAAGTTATAAGTGATTTTTAATCTTTATTCAATGTGTAAGTTCCAGATAAGTGCCAGTTCCTCTTTAATACTATGATTCACTTCTTGCAATATACATCCTACAACTTCAAACAATACTTTTTAAAATTGAAATGCTACATGTGTGAGGTATTTAACAATCTGGATCAATAAGTTAATTTTTTTTTCAGTTATTTCTACAAAGTAAAAAAGTGAAATAATGTTTGTTTTTTATTCTAAGCTTTAAAAATATGTTATTGTGCTATGTATTCTTTTAGCCCTATCTGTTCTTTAAAAAGTTATATATATATATATATATATATATATATATATATATAATTTTGTACATTATAGTGTAACAAACATGACAACCGTTTCAAGAAGGCCTTGTCATGAACACACAGAATTTTAAGCATTGGTAACAAATGGAATAAAACAATAGTCTGGATCCAAAGATGGGCATTTTCAGTGGGTATTCTTCAGGCCCGACAAATGCTCATATGGCACTAATACAAAGAGAATTATTCAGGGGTGTTGCTGAATTTATTGTAGAATAAATTTTATCACTATTGATAAATATATCACTGACCTAATTTTACTTTAAAGGAACGAGTGACCAAGCTAATACCATGTACAAAGTCTAAATCCCTCTGAAAATGTACCACTGCTTTAGAGGAAAGAGAGAGCCCATTATTCCTAAAACTATCTAGGGTAATTAAAAGAACACTCTGGTCACCAATACAACTTTAGGATTTGATCTCATTAATATACTGTATTTTTACATGCTATCATTTTATAGTTTTTGCTCACTAAAAACCCCCAACCTTTTGCACTATTAGCTTGCCTTCCTAGTCACACCCCTTCATAAACAGCTCAGCCAATGACAGCACATATTTTAGAAAGCCAATAAAATAGAGCATATTAATAAGGTCAGAACCTAGCAAATGCATTAAAGTTGTGTTCTTACTGGGGCTAAGTGGACTATCCCAAACTGTTAAAACCAGCCTCAGACCCTAACGCAATATTAGCGCAATATTAGACAGGCTCCAGCTATGGACTTTTAAGGGAGCACTGAAACAGTGCCCTGCACTTTGAGTTTTGTGGTTATTGCTCCTAGGTACTTCCAACCATAATTACAGCACTAACAGTTGACCAGAGCACATCTACAGCAGAAATGTCACAAACTGGCACTAAAGTCCTAAAGTGTAATCTGGATGAACTTAATGGGAAATGTTGTATGTCATTGTTACATGTGTTGGCCATCATCCAATAAACCCTGTTCAATTAATCTGATCTGTTGGCTAAGGTCAAAATGTTAAATAATGTGCTATGAAAATCTAAAGCTGTGTTAAAGAGGTTTTATTCACTGCAGGATTTTGCGGTGACAAGTGAACTGTGGTTGATGGACAACCGAATTGTAAAAGATTTGAAGAATGTTTCTTTTTTATTTGATCTCATTTTTTAGTTTTGCTTTTTATGTAATTGTTTAGTGCCTAAATCTGCACGTATGTTAGGTTTAAATAAAGTTACTAGTTATTAAAAAAAGACCATCATACCTTGACACTGTCTAAGTGAAAGTGCTCCATAGTGTTTAGCCAACACCCTCCAGACACTGAACGCCAATATGTATGCCAGTTCAAATCTGCAATCCTAGCACAGGTCAAGTAAAGACTTTCCATGTTGCTATTTTTCAAAATAAGAAGTTTAATGAACGGATAAATAAAACATTTGCACAAGTTTATAAATACTGTATACGTAAAATATTGACACAAGAACCATACCAAACACCACACCCTCTCATTACACAGGCCAGATGGAAAACAACAAGAAACAAGAAATAACTAAAGCATAGCAGAGAGTACCAATGACGTGGGCAGTGTTTGCCAATAGGTGCACAAGTTATGCTGTGGAAATAAAACTAATGAATCTTCAGGTGTACTTTAATAGCCTTTGTTTCATTATCTTATTCAATGCAACACTTTCTTTTTCGGTCATAATGGTCTCCAGCCTCTGGGAACTTAAATCTCTGTGATTTTTGTGTTTCTGGAAATGCATATCCCAATGATTCCCAAATCTCAGTGAGTTCAAATCACACAGGGTTATTCTCTAAAGAGAGAAATGTCAGGAATTTAATGGTATCAGGAGGTGAGGCGGGGGAGGGGGTGAGACAAGGAAGCGGGCAAGGGTTGTATTCATCAGCTCCTCATTACCACTCTCCACCAGTGATATTCATTTTGTATTCTAACTAAAGTGAATAATTCTGACAGTGAATTCCAGTATCAAACCTTTTAAATCTCAATGCTCTTTATCCTCAGATTCTACTCCCAGTGATCTCCAGTCTGTGAGAACTCAAATCCCAGTGATCTCTAACTTCAGAGAACTTAAATCTCAGTCATCTTCAGCCTCGGATATCTACAAATTTACAATCTATGGGATCTGCAATGTCAACTTTTCTCAATCTCAGGCATTTTCAATCACTGCAATCATTCTTTCTCAATGGCGGCGTAGCTTACTTCTCAGGGAAAATAACTTTCGGCTTAGGTAAGCTACGGGATGTTCTCCGCCATCTGCTCCAACTTGGCTCAGCACTCCTCCAAATCATGTAAGTCACATAGCTTCTCAAAGTCTTGTAGATACCCATCAATTTCGTCTTTCTCTTCACAAAACATTTTAAAAGCATGGTATGGGATCTTAGGCTTTACCTGGCTGACGACTGAAGCAGTAATAGATTCTGCTCTGGAAGGAGAATCCTGCGGTCTGTGTGCCATCACATACTCCTGCACATCCGCCATCAGTACTGTCAGTATTTCCAGTGGTACTGGCTGGGGTAAAAATTCCATCCTGGTCCTCATTTCCTTTTGGAAGGGGGTTTCTTCCATGGCTGGTGGGAGTGTAACGCTGCGAGCTCTGTCTCCCTCCATCAATTTGGCAATCAGCACAGCTTTTGGCTTATTGCTGGCTATCTAACCCCGGGTCCCAATAGTTCCTTTAACGTCTGCCATTTCAATGCAGTGTAGTCTGTCTCCATTCACCTCTGTGTTCGGTTCTTTGTTACATCTGAATTGCCATTCACTTTCCTGTTCGGTAGTTTCAATTACCCGAACATCGCTTTTCGGCTTTAAGGTTGGATCCTGTCGCTTGCCAATTGTAGCGGAGCTGCAATATTAAATCCCAAGATCTCTGCTGGTACAGAAAGTAATCCAAAGTAAAGCACTGGAAAAGAAGGCAATATCTCAAATCCCCCAGTAACTGGACGAAACACAGTTCTGGGAGTCAACTGACAATTTTATTCACAGTTCCAGTATTTATGTAATTCCCCATGCAAGGGGTTTCCTTAGTCACTTTACAGGGGAATTACAGTAGAGGACTACATGGGGAACTAAATATACCAAGCATTTCTCCCACCATGCACTGCTGTACGTGAGGGATACTCCCACTAGAATATCCTGTTAAGTGGATTATCCCTCCGTACAGCAGAACCGGATTTTAACATAAAAATGTATAACTTTAACATTATTAGTAGGATTATAATAAATGACCGTTCGGTAGATAGCTGGGGTCTGAGCGCACACTTCGTGAAAGTACCGCTCAGATCCCAGCATAAATAACCGAACGCCGCACGAAACATACTTTTATATCAAATTCTCCTAAAAGTACCGAATACCTA